AAATATTTAAAAAACTTATTTACGGAGAATTAAAACATTTTTGGTGATAAAAACCCGCAAATAGGAATCAAATTGTATTAAATAACATTATATTTCAATTACAGCCATTTCGGAAATCATCGAGCAACCAGCTCTAGACGATTTTCGCTGGAATGACCCTCGAGAGTACAGTTTAGGAGTCAAACTTTGATTCCATTTAAATGGGAAATTGATTTTTCTTATCAAAGTGCATAATAATAGATGTGAAAAAAGGGTATGTTTTTTTGACATAAACAAATGGAATAACTCAGTCAATTTTCACTTTATCGATTTAGTGTAAAGGGAATTAAATTTCATTCGTTTTCACAAAACTTTTTCAAAAAAAATCCGACCAGCTTCAAGGAGGGGGGAGTTAGTTTATTTTTTTCAAAAAATTCCTGACTAGTTAATTATCAATATTTTTAATTGCAATTCATACCACTTATAGTTCAATGTATGTATTTTATGAAAAAAATTGGACATAAGGTTTTGTGCATTTATTTTTAATTTATATCAAGTAAAAGTAAATGTATCCTTTTTTCAACCTCTGAACGTCGGAGTGGGGGTACTCGAAGGAGCGTGACTCTCGCCGCCACAACTCAATTCAGCCTTTCAAATTTGCAAAAATGGTCATAACTTCGTTAATTATTTACCGATTTTAATGATTCTTTTTTTAATTTGATGTATTGTTTTACGCTGAATCCAAAAATGATTTTATATTTTTTTAAAATGCAATATTTTTAATAATAAAAACAAAAATTTTTTTAACAAAAAATTTTTAATTATTATTTATAACTCTTGACAAAAAATTCTTTTCGTTCATATAATTCCATTGAATTCAAAATAATATTATGACATAAAAAAATTCAAATTATTTTTATATAAGTGTGAAGCATCGTTGTATTGATAGTTGAACAGGCGTGCATATGTCAACCTAATGCTACAAGCTTATATATAATTAATTTTAATTTTTTTTTGTTATAATATTTTTTTGAATTCAATGGAATTATATGTACGAAAAGAATTGTTTGTCAAATGTTATAAATAATAATTAAAAATTTTTCGTTAAAAAATTTTTTGTTTTTATTATTAAAAATATTGTATTTTAAAAAAATATAAAATCATTTTTGGATTCAGCGTAAAACAATACATCAAATGAAAAAAAGAATCATTAAAATCGGTAAATAATTAACGAAGTTATGACCATTTTTGCAAATTTGAAAGGCTGAATTGAGTTGTGGCGGCGAGAATCACGCTCCTTCGAGTACCCCCACTCCGACGTTCAGAGGTTGAAAAAAGGATACATTTACTTTTACTTGATATAAATTAAAAATAAATGCACAAAACCTTATGTCCAATTTTTTTTCATAAAATACATAGGGGAGTGTAAGGTATGGTGGCGGACACTTTCTTTTTTGCGTCTCTCTCTCTCAAAAAACAATATTTTTCAAAATTTCAAAAGCAGGCAGTTGCTGACATCTATTAAGCATATTTCTGTCAGAAGCGGCGGTTAAAATTTAAATTCAGTGAAATTTTACAGCTCTTGGCGCAAAAAACTGATTTTTTTTATTTTTGAAAGTTGTAAGGTATGATGGCGCATTTGGTGTATTTAACTAAAATATTATGTAGATGTTAAAATTATTTTTTAAAACTACTAGAAATGATGAAAAATAACAAAAGTAGAGAAAACTGATGATTTTACATTATAGAAAAAAAGTTTCACTTCAGTTATGGTTACAATTTTGGACATGTGAAGTAGCTGGTGGCTGTTTTAACGCAACTAGAATAAGAGAAGACCGCAAGTGTCACATATTCGAGAATTGTTGCGTTGGAGCACATGAGGCATTAGTACACAAAAAATGCAAAGACAATTGAAACTCGTGCAAAAAATGATCCGCCACTGTACGTTGCAAAAATTGCGCCATCATACCTTACAAGCTATTGATGAAAATATGATGGTGTTACTTTCATACAGCGCGAATTGAGAAAAATGTAAAATACAAAAAACTGTTGTCCAAGGTCTAAACAATACGTTCCATACATTTACCAGACTCAATTTTCAAAAAATCTTCACTCTGGCACCTGTTAACACACATATCCAATAAAACTTTTTTTCTTTTTTTCACTACTTTTTTTATTCAAAATCACTTAAAGTACAAAGCACGCGTTTGATCATTAATACTACTGCATATAAAATGTCATCACGATAAAAGACATCGACCATAGTGATAAGGCGCTTCAGATGTGACGTTACATGCCAGATTTGACAAGTGCGCCACCATACCTTACACGCCACCATACCTTACACTCCCCTACATTGAACTATAAGTGGTATGAATTGCAATTAAAAATATTGATAATTAACTAGTCAGGAATTTTTTGAAAAAAATAAACTAACTCCCCCCTCCTTAAAGCTAGGTCGGATTTTTTTTTGGAAAAGTTTTGTGAAAACGAATGAAATTTAATTCCCTTTACACTAAATCGATAAAGTGAAAATTGACTGAGTTATTCCATTTGTTTATGTCAAAAAAACATACCCTTTTTTCACGTCTATTATTATGCACTTAGATAAGAAAAATCAATTTCCCATTTAAATGGAATCAAAGTTTGACTCCTAAACTGTACTCTCGAAGAAAAAAAAAACGAAATTCGCAGGTCCAAAAGTGGGGAAATTCTGTTGAAAAATTTCATGTTTTTAGTTAACAAATGGAATAAAACATAAACTATTTGTCCGATCGAGTTGACTTTTTTTTTAATTTATTCAGCTTCGCAAGGAGAATATTCCTGGTGAGTTGTAAACAAATTCAATAATTATTAACAAAGTTATTAAACAATTAAAAAAGTGCTATTTTTAATGGTTTAAATTCATTTGCAACTAAACTAATTAACCTTTTTCAACGTATGACCAATCATTTGAAAGGTATTTTTAGGCTCTACAACTTTAAATAATAACTTTTTCCTCTAAAATTTAACCGGAAGCAAGGGTCATCGAAAAACTACGTTTCTCGAACTTTGACGATTGTTTACACTATTTTTTGCAACCGGAAATCGAGAGCAAACCATGGGGCTCTTATATGGGGCCCCCAAACTACAAGAAACTATTGAGACTTTTCAAGTTGCACTTTTGTGCACTTTTTGCACTCACCGACTGGCCTACCTGTCCTGCTTCACTTCTACATGTCGTGACCTATTGGGCTGAATTTCGGTACACACATAATTATGTTGTTTTACGTTTAGATTACAGAATATTCATATTACATTATAGAATAATACTACACTGTAAAAAATTTAGGGAGTTAACGGACTCGGGAGTTGGGAGTGAAATTTTTCGAGTTAAAAATCAACTCCTAAAGAGAGTTAATTTCTAACTCCCTTCATTCAACACCCGCGCGAGTTATTTTTTCCTTAGGGAGTTTGCATTTGGGTGTGAAATTTTAACTCTCTTTATTTAACTCCCCTGGCATTAACTTCCCAATGGGTGCGACTTTTACAGACCCCCCGGGGGAGTTAAAATTTAACTCCCTTTTTTTACAGTGTATATTTTTCTTGTAATCTTGATGTGAGAATATGTATATGAATTTCATCTGAATAGGTTTATATATGTACTATTTAAAAGGGGGGATATTGTTATTTAATCGATTTCTTTCTTTCCTAATTTGTATTTCTTTCTTTTAATTAATCATATTTCTTTCCCATATATTTTTTTATAAAAAAGGAGTTTAATTTTGGTGTACAGAACCCTTGATTTGTCCTATTATTTCTCTAATAAATGAGTATTAAAATTAATATTGTTTAAAGCGTTAAATTTTTTAAATCCGTTATTAGAAAACACTATCTTTATAATTTTTCTAACTTATAAATTAAATATAACAAATTCAAACGAAAATAAAATATATATGTTGTGACGGAAGACAATTAAATCGAACTGAATATTTGTTTTATTTATCAAAAATACCGAAAATGTTTTATTCGACGCACGAAATTTGTATACGCTCCTGAGCGCCGATAGTGCGCGTGCGCTCAGCCAATCGCGAGCGAGGAAGTCTCTCCCCGCTGAGACCTTCTCCCTCCAGCGCCAAGCGAACCGAGGACCCCGAATGCACGGTCCGAGAGCGCCACTTCTCGAAGCGGTGTTACCGCAGTAGGAGCTCTCGAAGTGGTTTTACCACAATGAGGGGAAAGTGGTATTACCACAAGCAGTTTTACCGCAAACAGGGCTGAAGAGGTGTTACTTCAGGTCCTGTAACGCTCTCTCCCACGAAACTGTCGGCACCGTTGTCGAAAGTCATCGTCGCTTGTAATGTAATTATGTCGTTTATTTTGTTGTAACTCGCCGCGTTACTTATTTTTACGGAAATCCGCCTTTCGCACGTTAATTGTTTTTTATTGTAAATTAAACTAATCGTCAACGTCGTCGAAATCACGGTTAACGTACGAATTTATGTCGCTTTACGTACTTTGTTAATATTCGCGATATTACGTTTACGTCGTTTTTCTCGTCTCCGCGCAGATGAGTATAGTTAATTCTTTGTACTTTTATTTGTGTTTTGTAAATATATTTTGAAGTTTCGATTCTGTAATTAAAATGTTAAAATTTTTATCGAACCCTGACCGACGAGCAATCCACACAATTATCATTCATTACAATGTTATATAAATAAAAATGTTTTAATTATTTCAAATTAATAATTGAAATTTTAGGTCATTGAATGTTTAAAATTGTTTAATATCATTAATGTGAATTTTTCTTTTAAATTAAATAAAAAAATTGAATTATTGTAATTAAATTATTTTTAAATTTAATTTTTAAATACAATTGAAATATAAATAAAACGGAATCTACTTTTAAAAAATATATGAATACATGAACTAGAAACAAAATATCAGAAGAAAAAAAGTTGACCATAATAACGAAAATAAACGAAATAAAATTATTTAGGTAGGTTTCAATAAATGGTTAATATTTAGAAAAAATGACTTACTTGACCGGTTCTAATATCAACGTGTGTAAGAGTATGTTTTCTCCAGTGCTGATCAACGCCTTTAGGTTGTTGATTTTCCAAAGGTTTTGAATAATCGTACTCATCAATTCTTTGTTTGAAATCCTCCCTTGCATGAGCTCCACGACTTTCCTTTCGATTTTCAGCTGCCGTTATTGTCTGCACTGCGTTTATCATGAGATTTTGAAGCTCCAATGTTTCAATTAAATCGGAATTCCAAATAAGAGATCGATCGGCAACTTTTACTTGGTCCATTTTCTTATATAAATCACTCATCTTTTTGCAACCTAAATGAAAAATAAAGGAAAAATTTAATAATTACATTCTCATCAAAAATGAGAAAGTCTTGGATTTGTGCGATTTTGAGCAATGTCTAATTTTGATAAATGAGTGCTTGGATACAACAAGGGGACGTACGCTCGGCGAGCCGCTTTAAAGTCAGTCAAAGGTACCGTAAAGTGTAAAAAATGAAAATTCAAAATTTTGAATTTTGAAAACTGCCATCTTATAGGAAATAAAAATGCGCATCTTTTTTTTCTTTGAAATTTCTTTGAATAATTAATATTTTTATATGATAATGGAAAAAATGTGATTAATTTTCAATGTTAAATTTCATTGAATTTTAAAATATAAATCGTTGTATCTCCGACAAAAATGAATGAATTCTTTTGATTTTTGGTATACAAATGCATTTGGACCTATAGAAGACGATAATATTACGAAAATGTTAAAAGCAATTAATTATTTATTGATTTTTAATTGTTAATACTGACCGGTCAAAAATAATTTTTTCTTATCTTTGGCTGCAAAAAGTATGCAGGGAACTTTAAAATTCAAACAACTTTCAGTGAGACATTTGTTTATTACGATGTAAAGAAGTTTTCTGTAAAATTGCAGAGAGATTAGTTTTATATTTACAGAAATACAATAGTTTTAAGAAAAATGCTCGAGCCGCCAACGATCTCTATACTGCACAGATTTTAAGGTTAGTTGCACGGTAAAGTTTTATTTATGTATAAATATATGTGTGTAATATTTGCATTGAATTATTTATTAACTATTACATACTATACAACATAGGTATAAGCTTTTTTAATAATTTTGTAAAACATTATGTGTATGAATATAAATATTACAAATAATTCTAGCAGTATTTAATTAAATTAAGATTAATAACTGTGTTAAAAGAAATGTTTTTATTTTAAACATTATTAAATTTATAAAACGTTTTTAGATGTTAATATTATTGTTTAAAAACTAGGAAAAATTTTTATTTTAAACAATTTTTGACAATTGTGATATTTTGAACTATTATATTTTAATAGATATTATTAGATTATACTAGATTCAACATAGTATGTAATTAAAAAGGACATTAAGTGTTGTTGCAGCATATTGAGTAATAGTTTTAATACATTATAGAGTCGATAAAAATTGAGTTGTAAATAAACGATATACTAACAAAAATAAATATCAGAAATAATCTTAATTTAATTAAATATTGCTAGAATTATTTGTAATATTTATATTCATACACATAATATTTTACAAAATTATTAAAAAAGTGTATACCTATGTTGTATAGTATGTAATAGTTAATAAATAATTCAATGCAAATATTACACACATATATTTATACATAAATAAAACTTTACAGTGCAACCAACCTTAAAATCTGTGCGGTAGGGATCGTTGGCGGCGCGAGCATTTTTCTTAAAACTATTGTATTTCTGTAAATATAAAACTAATCTTTCTGCAATTTTACAGAAAACTTCTTCACATCGTAATAAACAAATGTCTCACTGGAAGTTGTTTGAATTTTAAAGTTCCCCGCATACTTTTTGCAGCCAAAGATAAGAAAAAATTATTTTTGACCGGTCAGTATTAACAATTAAAAATCAATAAACAATTAATTGCTTTTAACATTTTCGTGATATTGTCGTCTTCTATAGGTCCAAATGCATTTGTATACCAAAAATCAAAAGAATTCATTCATTTTTGTCGGAGATACGACGATTTATATTTTAAAATTCAATGAAATTTAACATTGAAAATTAATCACATTTTTTCCATTATCATATAAAAATATTAATTATTCAAAGAAATTTCAAAGAAAAAAAAGATGCGCATTTTTATTTCCTATAAGATGGCAGTTTTCAAAATTCAAAATTTTGAATTTTCATTTTTTACACTTTACGGTACCTTTGACTGACTTTAAAGCGGCTCGCCGAGCGTACGTCCCCTTGTTGTATCCAAGCACTCATTAATCTTCACGTTTCATGACCCCCTGATTAAAAAAAATGGTTTTTAGAGAAGTGTCTGTCTGTTTGTAGAATATTTTGTCGTCACGATAACTCGAGTAAATTTTTATGAATCGATTTGCAATTTGGGGGACTTTTTTAGTCCATAAAAATGAAGCCAGAGTTCGATATGGGCAGCTCATTTTGTCAAAAAATACAAAATTTTGTATTTTTGACAATTTTTAAAAAAATAGATTTTTTTCCTTAAATTTTGAGCAAAAACAAACAACTTTTCCTTTAGATACTTTTTTGCACGACAAAAAATAAAACAGTTATGAATTTTTTTTTTAAGTTCATTTCTCATTTTTACTTCTTTGACTCATAATTAAGTTTTAGATGTTTTTTGTTCTTTCGCTTCACTGGAAAAATTTTGGTGATATAAAAATTTTACATCGACCCCAAAAACCATAAAATAATAAATTTAATGCAAATCGGTTAAATGTTTGAAAAGTGTGTCCGCCACATTGTATCAGATACATATTATAATCGGTTTATTCTTTCGTATGTTTTCTCTTCAAATGCTACGGTATTAAAATATGTGAGTGAACAAGATAGTGGGACTCCACCTTTAAGATGCTCCCGGAAATATTAGAAACTAACGCTCGCTTTGTTATAAACTGCATACATACAGTCTGTTTCGCAAAATGGCTTCTTTAAGGGCATTCGGGAAATGTCCCTCTAAAAAAGTGGTTTCCCGCTTGTCTTCTCATTTTTAAGTAAGAAAAGATATCGAGCTGAGATTTTCCGATTTAATTAAAGAAGAGCTTACTGATAGAGAACATCTCCATATTGACAAGTAATTTTTGAAAAAAGTATTGAAAAACAAACTTAAAAAGTTGCTTGTTTAATGAAAGTGACACACAATATGGCGACAAGCATGCAGACAATTATAGCGAATTCGGTTATCTGCTCCGAGAGCGATCTTGCTCGGTGTAGGAGTATAGTTTACTCTGCTCTCAAAAAGCTGTGCTCTACTCTGAGGCAATCTATGACGTCATGAACACTGGCAAAGTTCGACTGTTTTTGGAGCAGGAGCACAACATGAACTGCTATGGTGTAAAGCATACACTGCTCGTTTGGCGCGAAGTTTAAATTTAATTAAACTTATATAATATAATATTATATTTATTATATTATATATATTATTATACATTATATTATGCAATATATTTTCTTCTTAAATGTAAAATTATTTTACTTAAAATTAAATATTTTATGATGTATACATAAATAATATTTTTAAAAGCAAAAAATTTGATATTTTTATTAGAATTTTAAAATCTTATTCGGTCAATGTTTTGATATAGCAGAATTGTTAATCACAAAATTATCGAATAATATTTCTGATATAAATTTTGTTTACATTATTTGACATTTTGAACTACTAACAACAACAATAATAAAATAAGTGAAAAGGTTATTTCTTTGAGACCAAATAATTACTTTATAATGAGTATTTTTATTTAAATCTTAAAAATATTGAAAATTATTTACTGTTTTTATTAAATATTAAAATATTGAATGTTAGTCTTTCTCTAAATACAAAATTCATTATAAAAAACATAATTCGTCTTCACTACTATCGCTAGAGGTGTCAATTAAATCTGTTAGAAGTGAAATTTTTAAATTTGCCGCTTCTCTTGACATTTTTTTAAACTGCACTAACAAAATTGTGGGAGCAAATTTTGTTGCACCTTTCGATCCTTGAGAGTGCACACTTCTTAATTCGAACACAAATAACGATCTGCGCCGGAGCAGTGCTGCCAAAACGAATACTCGAAACGATCTGCGCCGGAGCAGTGCTGCTAAAGCGAATACTCCAAAGTGCTCCGGTGCAGATAACCGAATTCGCTATTAGATCTATGTGTCGGTGGTCTGGTAGGTGGCGCCAATTCAAACTAGTGCCTGCGATTAAACTAAAAACATTACTCAACATCATATTACTTAACATTATTTCTTCATTTTTCCTACTTTTTCGCCAAATTCTTGTAAAAATGGATATGACTACCTTGATGACCACCCTACAGATTACTCTCATTTATCATTCTAAATAAATTTTACCTCCAAATACCGTATTCAAGCAACGAACAGATTTTTTTTAGAAACATTTTAAAATAAATAAAATTATTTCCTATTACTTTATATTAATTACTAGCTGTCGTACCCGTCTTCGACGGGTTTTAGTTTCTACCAATACATTTAACAGTGTGTCTACCAATTTGGAAAATAAGGAAATAGCTCAGGAATTTAATTTGACCGGAAAAAAATAATAATTAGTTAGGTACCATTATAGCTATTTCAGTAGGAAAATATTACTATTTGAATCAGTGATTGACTTTTTATTATCGAATTAGTTATTTTAACCAATTCAAATGCAGAGAACAATATTTGTCAATTTTTAGTACTTTAATTAATGCATTAAAAATTTATCAAATTTCCCACCCAGTTTTTGGAGTTATAGTAGAGTCTAATTGGAACTAATTGTATCGCAAAGGTTACGACTGCTAAAACCTAACATAAGACCTATATTTTAGACTGAAAGTAGGGCTTAAATTTTGACCCGGGTCTGTTTTCATAAATATTATACATCAATAAAAATTAAAGTAAAAAGCAATTTTTTAAAAGCGAATTAATATAATGAAACTTTTTCTTAATTTGATTGGAAAATTCCCAGCTTTTTCCAGTTTTCCCCGTTTGGTAGTTACCCTGTTAAATGTATTAGTAGAAACAAAAAACTGTCGTAGACGGGTACGACAGCTAGTAATATAATCTATATTTTATATGAACTTAAGAAAGAGTATTTTCATAAAAATAAGTAAATTTTTATAGCCATTTGTAGATTTATTTATGGATAAAATCAAGTAAATTTAAATTTAACAAAAAAAAGATAAACCGTGAAAAAGGACAAAGCAGGAAATTTTGTTAAATAAAATAGACACCGTGTTAACTTTTGTCTTTACATTGCTCAAAACATCTCTAAAAGTTAAATCTAGAGTTAAAATAAAAAAAACGTTTTAACATATAAGTTTTTGCCTAGTGGCATATAATATGCTTGTATTGTATCAGAGGTGACTTACAATTTCTTGACATCCTGCAATATCATTTTAATCATAAAAAATTTGCATTTTCAATATTTCTGAAATTCTTGAAAATATTAGATTAATTTGATAAATAATTCTCAATTACACTATTTTTACGTCAAAATAATAATCAGAGACTCCAAAAATACTACTGAATTAAACTTCATAGTAATTAGTATCGATTTTTTGATATTGAAAATATTTTTATATTTACTTATAGGATAGTATTTTTTGCAAAATTATGCTAAAATCTGACTAAATAACATATAATATTGAATTTTAGAAAGTTTAAAAGCTATCCATTAAAAATGTGAAATTTGGAAATTTTCCATTTTTTGAAGTTTTTGAAAATATTTTTATATTTACATCTTAGTTATAGGATAGTATTTTTTGCAAAATTATTCTAAAATGTGACTGAATAACATGTAATACTCAAATATAGAAAGATTAAAAGCAATCCATGAAAAATGTAAAATTTTGAAATTTTTGATTTTTTGAAAACATTTGTATACTTACATATTAGTTATAGGACTTTATTTTTTGCAAAATTATGCTAAAATGTGACTAAATAACATGTGATACTCAAGTATAGAAACTTTAAAAGCAATCCATGAAAAAATTAAAAATTTTGAAATTTTCGATTTTTTGAATTTTTTGAAGAAATTGAATATCTCCCGTTCTAATTAATATTTTTTAAATCTGTAAATTTATAAACCTTCCTTGGGTCAATACCTAATAACCTACCAAGTTGGACTTAAATCGATTTACATGTTTTTGTGTGATTGGGGTACAAAGTTTTTGTGACAGACATACGTACATACATACGTACATACATACGTACATACATACGTACATACATTAAATTTTTTAAGAATATTTTTGGAATCCCTGATGTCCATAATAACTAATCATGTTAACATTTTGAAGTTTTAAGCAATGTACAGACAGACATCTGATTTTATTAATAAGGATTTATTTTATTTAGTTAATTTAAGGCATCCGCAAAAAGTCTCCCCCTAAAAAATGTGGTTTCCCGTGAGTCGTTTCTCCTGTGTGTTCTGAATGATTAAAGATATCGAAATGAGATTTTTTGAAAATAAGTAGGGTAAGTGTACCAATTGCGGAGGCTGTTCCATTTGTCGATGTTACCATGGTAATAAGTAAAAATATTATCTAAAATGTTTAATTTATTTGTGAATATAATATTAATATATTATCTTTGACATTTATAACACTTAATAAGCATAATAGGGGAGACCGGGGCGTAATGGCTAAGGGGCGTAATGAATAATTGTAATTTGTTTAAAAACCGTAAATCGTAATAATTTCGCACAATAGACAAGTTATTGTACTTGGTATACTGCAAGTTTGTCGGAAGTTTCATTAATATTTATTCATTATTGTAAGAAATATAGTAGAAAAACTATTTTTGACATACGAAAGTAACTTTTCAAAATTTTCGTTTTTTCGTTCTATTTTTTTCAAACATAGCTTTAAAAAAAAACTGAATCGAGGTTTCGATCTTGACACGTTTGTTTTTAAGGGACAATTCGAGATTGAGATAAGAGAAGTATTGCTAAATAAAAATTGCACTCACGGAATACCCAGGAACCTTAATTTACAATATACAATAAGATTGGAAACTGTAGATAATAATTAGCAATCATTATTCATTACGCCCCGGCTCGGGACGTATTTTGGAGCTCTGCATTGCTCCAGAAAAACTGTTGTAGAATAAAAAGTAAGAGTCATATCGGGACGTTTGTAGTCTTAAAAAAAAGCTGAGATACTAGAGTAACTTTTCTGGGAGATAAACATTCAATTAGAACAAAAATGTCCGATTAAAACCACAAAGAGTGAAAAGTTAGCCATTACGCCCCGGTCTCCCCTGCTAATTATTTTCTGCATTTCAATTGTAATTCCATGTTTAAGTCAAAAGCAGAATTTGTTGACTCGAAAAATGCATACACTCTCGACAAGTGGTACGTTTACCCTATTGAAAAATGTATTTATAAAAAACAGACAATTTTATGTGTGAGTGGTCCAAGAGATAGCGCCAATTTGATATAGTGGCTGCTGGTCAACTAAAAAATGTTACTTAATCTCAATTTAGACCACCTTAATATCTTTATTACAATCAATTTTTTATTCCACAAGTAGAAAAATGGAGCTTTTAGATATCAGACGATAGGGGGTAAAAAAACATTCATTCTTTTGACCGTATGAAAATGGCGGCTATTTTGCTCAAGGGGCCATCCACATATTACGTCACACTATTTTTGGTCATTTTTGACCCCCCCGTACCCCATGTCACACTCTATTATATACATTAGCGCCATTTTCTCTGCAGGGTGTCACAAATTGCTTGACCCCCCCTTCCCCTTAAAGTGTGACGTAATATGTGGATGGCCCCCAATGAGTAAAAATGTATTATTAATCTTTCATGTATTATTATTGCCGAAGGGTAAAAATGAACGCTATCTTTATAGAAGTAGAATAAGCGAATGACTTTTACTCCCTGTCGTCTTCTATCTGAAATCGCCAAAACTATTCTTTTTCATGTTTAAAAATTTTTTTATACACATTTTTCTTAAAAAGTAAAAAAACGTCATTTTTTGGTCAATTTTTCCCCATAGAAAATAACCGGGGTAAAAATGTAACATTTTAAAGGTTTGTTGTTAAGATTTTTAGATAAAGAATCGAATGGTTTATTTAAAATCACTTCGGTAGATTTCGAGAAAAGTATCGTAACATACTACAGTGGATTAAGACAGTCCAGGGTGGGCTTGAAACTGATTTAACCCAAAAGTCTTTGCACCTTAAATTTTCTTGTGAATTTTAATTTTAGAGTGTAAACAGATGATATTGTAACAAAAATTAAAATAATCGCCGGAGCCATTTTCGCGAAACTTCGATTTTTCTTTTTAAAATAACGAAAATTCAATTTCACTTCAAAAATTTTAATTTTCTGAAAAAACTCTCTCTTTATTACTTTTTTGTTGATTGAAAGTTTCTTTTTACTTATTGCAAAATAAAATCATTTCGCAAAAATTTTTGAGCAAATATTTTTATTTTTGTTGTGCAATCATACATTCATATTATTGTATAAGCGAAATCGACAAAAATATCAAGATATACCAGTACCTTTGGGATAAATTGATTTAAAAACATGTAAAAAATCATTTTCTTACGATTTTCATGGAAATTATAGAAAAAAGTATCACACAGGGGGAGGGGGGTCTAAAATACCTAAAATATGTATCACGTAATATATGCATGACCTCTAAAGAGTTTTTTCAGAAAATTAAAATTGTTGAAGAATTTTCGTTATTTTAAAAAGAAAAATTGAAGTTTCTCAAAAAGGGCTCCGGCGATTATTTTAATTTTTGTTGCAATATCATCTGTTTATACTCTAAAATTAAAATTAAAAAAAAATCCTAGGTGCAATGACTTTTGGGTTAAATCAGTTTCAAGTCCACCGTGAGTCATAAAAATTAATATTAAAGTTTTTTCTTTTGCATATTACAGTTAAGACCCCATTATCCGGATTTTCGATTATCCGGACAAATTCAAATGTGTATGAAATTTTCAAATTTTAAAGCTTATAAGCTTTTCATACCATAAATTTTGAATTTCCACATGAAACGTTGCGTTTTTATGTATTTTAATGATTTTAAGAAAATGTTTATGTAAATCTTTTGAAATGTTTCTAACTAAACATTTATTAATGTTGACTTTAATAGTTTTATTTCGTTTCAGTCTTTTTTAAATACATATATTCAGGTATTACACTACCGGCGGAAATTGTGTGACCACTAACACCTCGAGCTACTACAAAACACACCCGCACAAAAACAGTAATAACTCAGTCAAAAATAAAGCTAGATGCTTTTTCTAAATTGCATTGGAAAGCTTATTAAATTTTCAATGAAATGACACTATCTTCATTTGTATTGTATAAATAGGAAGCGAGATATCATGTTATAAACACAAAAAAATAATTCCATTTTTTTAAATTTCTTACCCTGACTTTGACTTCTGGCAAAATTTGGAAAAGTTGATGGAAAACATTGTTACTTTTACAGACTATTCCTTGTAATCTGAGCTTTGAATAAAGACCAAGAACAGCAAAAAATATTAACGGGTTCCCGAGATATTACAAAAAAAAGGCGGATCGTGCGAAGCAAAATTTTCAACCGTCGACTCCTCTAATTCGCCGTTGAGTCAATTGCGTGGTTGTGAAAGTCAGGGTCGAAAATGAATTTTACTAAGTAAAAATCTTACTGGGATCCACTTTTTAAATATAATTATATAATAAATTTATTTAAAACGTGGATCCCAGTAACGATTTACTTGGTACAATTCATTTTCGACCCTGACTTTCACAGCCTCGCAATTGACTCAACGGCGAATTAAGAGTCGATGGTTGAAAATTTTGCTTCGCACGGTACGACTTTTTTTTGTAATAACTAGGGAACCCGTTTTTATTTTTTGCTGTTCTTGGTCTCTATTTAAAGTTTAAATTGCAAGGAATAGCCTGTAAAAGTAACAATTTTTTTCATTTACTTTTCTAAATTTTGTCAACAGAGGGTAAGAAATTCCAAAAAATGGAATTATTTTTTTGTGTTTAAAACATAATATCTCGCTTCCTATTTATGCAATACAAGTGAAAATAAAGTCATTTCATTGGAAATTTAATAAGCTTTTCAATGCAATTTAAAAAAAGCATCTAGCTTCATTTTTGACGGAGTTATTACTAAAAATGAACAATTTACAAATTATAGAAATTTAATCGAGATAAGAGCACTAAAATTAAAAGCTCAATATCTATTAAAAATACATGCTAATTACCTTCTTGAAGTGTTTGCTCTTCTCGGAAAACAGCAGCGTGTGTTTGCATGGTTTTCTGCATATTTAATCTTAATTCTGCTGTTGTAATAGATCCATTCGCGTTTCTTATTGCGTCTAAATTGGCGACAGAAGCTTCTCCCGCGTTCTTTAAAAAATATTACAAAATTTTAATATTTTTCAACAAAAATTATGCATATATAGAAAACATTAAATAAAAAAAAAAATGAAAATTTTTTTCTATATGCAATTACATATACCAACCGGACTCAGTCTTCCAATTTTTTCGCCAGGTTTATTTTCACGAGAAATTGTTTTTGCACACGCTCGCCCAAATACAACAAGATCCAAAAGTGAATTTGCACCAAGACGATTGGCTCCATGAACGGAAGCACACGCAGATTCACCGCAAGCATAAAGTCCAGGAACTACTTTGTCTTGATTATTTTGATTCGTAAGAACTTGTCCTTTATAATTTGTTGGAACACCGCCTTGAAAATGCAGAAGAACGTGTGGCAAAAATTCAAAAACTAATTGAAAATACTATAATATTGTTTTTTGAATAGTATAATAATACTATACATAAAGAAAAACAATAAAAATGATAAAGAAAAATAAAATCTGAAAAAAGGCAAAAAAGATAGAGCAACATAAGAAGCAATAAAAAATATCAAGAAAAATAGATACGATGTTTAAAAATAAAAATTGTATTTAGCAACCAAATAAATAAAAATAACGAGATACAAAAAAATGAGAAGAAGCTAATAATAAAATATGAAGAATTACCCATATTATAATGAACAGTTGGCAAAACTGGAATCGGTTCACGTGTTACGTCCACACCGGCGAAAATCATTGCTGTCTCAGAAATACCAGGTAATCTTGCGTGCAATTGTTCTGGTGGCAGATGATGAAGTTGCAGATAAATGTGATCTTTTTCAGGACCAACACCTCTAAATAAAACGAAAAACCGATAAGATAGAAAAAAGAGAATTTTCTATTTTTCTGTACAATTTAAAAAAATGTTTATTTACCTTCCTTCTCGGATTTCAATTGTCATTGATCTGGAAACAACGTCTCGAGATGCAAGATCTTTGGCAACTGGTGCATATCTTTCCATAAATCTTTCTCCTTCGCTATTTATTAAATATCCGCCTTCTCCTCGGCTTCCCTCTGTGATAAGGCAACCAGCTCCATAAATTCCTTTAAGAAGGACAAAATTAGAACAAGTTATTCTTTTTTCAAATCCAAAAACAAATTTTTAATAAAACATTTTAAACTGATTTACACTATTAATTCATACAAATTAATATTAACTATCTTGATATTAAAATTATTTTAAAAAATTTAAATGTTTAAAATCAAATCTTCTATTTTCTATATTAATAAAATCAGACTTCTGCCTGTACATTGCTCCAAGCTTGAAAATTTTTATATATTTTTTCGTTTTCAGATATTAGAATTCGAAAAATGTAAAAAAAAATTCTGTCTGTCTGTCCTTTTGTCTGTCTGTCTGTATGCAAAACTTTGTTCGCGCATCACTTGAAAACGGTTCAACTGATTAAAGTGAAACTTGTCAGTCTATTAGGTATTAACGTAACTTAAAATCATAGTCTCATCCGATTAAAAAATATTATCTTGAACAGAAGTTCAATTGTCACGCAATTTCACATGAAAAATACATTGTGTCATGTTTAGTACAGACCCCCCCTACCCCCAAAAACGTGACATCATTTGTGAACGCTCCCAAATCTCATTTCTACAATAAAATTTAAAAAAAGACTTATTTTGAAATTTTTTTTCGTTTTTTCTGATCAAATTTTTTCTACAAGAATGATGATTCTTGATTTTTAAACAAGCTTTTCATGGAAAGTTATTAAACTTTTTTTATTTAAAAACCAGTATTTAAAGCAAGAAATTTGCCTCATTAGACAAAAATATTGTTTCAATATTCAGTTTTTAAAATCAAGAAAGTTATGCACGAGTTAACAAAAAGATGTTCATATTGATTGATTTTACTAGTCCTCAAAAAGTTAAATATTAATTAAATCTTGCATTAAGTTGGTATTGATATTTTCTGATTAATTAATCTATTTGTACCTGAAATGAAAATGTTTCATATTTTTTATGGAATTTAATTAACAAGAATTTTTTTAGTTTTACTAAGCTCCTGGAGAATAATCCCGTGTAAAAATTTTGACAGGGGCCTGGCCGGGTCCAGACCGGGGTGAAACAGGGAACCCGGCCGGGGCCCGGTCGGTTTCCCGGTTTCCTGCGGGATCAGGGCCTTGTTAGGGCAATTTCTGCACGGGATCTAAAAACTTGCCAAAAACAACCAATATTGGTTACCTCCACGTGGTGCTTCTCGGTAAAAAAGCTAATAAATGGTTTTTTATAAGCTCCAAGTGCGAAATTCCAAGACTGCAAAACGGGCCCGTCAACACTGAAAAAATTACATTCTAATTTTAAGAAAAACTTCTTAAATATGCGCCAAGAATATTCCCCACTTAAATAAAGTGGGAAATATTCTTACAATAATAATGTTCTTCTTATTGTAAGAATATTTCCCACTTAATTTAAGTGGGGAATATTCTTGGCGCATATTTAAGAAGATTTTCTTAAAATTAGAATGTAATTTTTTCAGTGAATGTCTGCAGAAAACTGGCAAAAATTACTGGGCCAATACTGGCATTCAAAACGTCTCATTGCTGCGGTAACGAAACTTAGCACGGACCTATAGTGGCACATTACTATCAGATTATTAGGCTAAACTTTTCTATCTATGATGGCAAGTTGTAATTGAAAGTGTTGGATAAAACTTAATTCCGGGAGTTTTGGAAAAACCGTAACAAAAAAATAAAAATCACTACTTTCCTCGCATTGAATCCTCTTGCAATTTTTTTAAATGGCTTCTGATTATTAAGAGATATTATTATTAAGAGAAAAAGAAATGCTTGCGAGGTGAGGAAACAATAATCTAGTTGAATTTCCAGGAATTTCGGGAAATTCGTGATCCTTTCGTAATTTTTTTAATGTGCTGTTAATATTAAAATAAGCAATTAGCTAAAGTAAAAAATTTTCGTCGAATAAACGTTGGTAATTTCAGTTTAAGAATATTGGGACGCTGCTCGGATCAGTAATGGCACATTAATAGCAAAAATTTTGTATCTGCTATGATGGCAAAATACAATTGCCAATATTGGGACGTACCTCGCCCCAATAATATTACAATATCGATAAATAGTGTAGCTTACACTGAGAAAAAAAATTATTTGATTCAAACAAATTTTGTTTAAATCAAACTTAAAATATCTTTGCTATACAGTCAAACATATTTAAGTTTAATCCAAAGATATTTTCTGGTTCAGTTTAAGAGATTATATATTGAAATCAAACATAAATTGTGATTGATTTTAAATTATCTGTAGTCAACTTTTAAGTTTGATTCAAACATAAAATTTTTAAACATAATTTTTGTTTAAACCGTAAACAGAAAATATGTTTAAATTAAATATAATTATTTAAACAAATAATACTTTTGAATCAATGCAATAGATATTTTCTATATATTGAGATTAAACTTACAAACTAATTTCAATTAAACAAAATCGTCTAACATTATTTTTGTGTTTCATTTAAGTATAATGTTTTCTCAGTGTATAAAACCATTATGCTTTCTTGATTTCACGTCAGAGTAGCAGAGTGAAATAAAAGCCGTATAAATATTAGCGTCTGCCGACGTCCAACCGTAATTAACACCACAAGAGTCGTCCCAATAATATCGGCCAAGACGAGGTGCCAACTTTGCCAGTACTGGGCCGTTATTAAAATTTTGTTTTCTTCTTCATTAATTAATATTAATAATCATCAAGAAAATTGGTTTAAATGTAGTTGGTTAAATATCAATCAATACTTAATATAGAAAACTATAAAGGTACTAAGAAACACGTCGAAGGCGGGTATTGCAGCTAGTTAAACATAATCACACGTTAAATTAAAATTATAGGAAACTTGCGAAGAAACCTTTCCTCACAAGACGTTGGACAATAACCAGTTGCACAATGTACTATTTAAATATGTTTGGGAAATTATGTATTGTAAAACTTTTCTTTTACAAAGAAGCTATTAAATAAATAAATTATGAACCAATTCAAAGTATTTCAATATTTGAAAATTTGAACTTTTGTCTAAATCTCATTAATTTCTAAAATAAAAAATAATTTTTTATTCTAAGATTACCTGTGGGATGAAATTGAACAAATTCAAGGTCCTGATTGGGTAAATTCGCCCTGGACACCATTGCCGTGCCATCGCCAGTGCAAGTATGAGCGGAAGTACAAGAGAAGTAGGCCCTACCATAACCGCCAGTTGCCAACACTGTATTCTTCGCGTGGAATCGATGAAGTGAACCATCTTCTAAGCAAAGTGCAATAACACCACGACATTCTCCATCTTCCATGAGCAAATCCAGTGCAAAATATTCAACAAAATAATTACAATCGTAGCTCAATGATTGTCCATAAAGCGTATGAAGTAGAGAATGTCCCGTTCTATCGGCAACGCAACAACATCTATGAGCTTGTCCTCCTTTTCCGAATTTCAACGATTGTCCACCGAAAGCTCTTTGGTAAATTTTTCCTAAAAATAAAAAATTATTTTTATGCAATACTGAATACAGCCCTCGGATTGACTTTAAGGTGCAAAAAAGTTTTCGTTTTTTCGGATCAAATTATTCAAAAATAATTAAAAATGTAAATATATTATATTTAATTATAGTGCGATTCCATGGGAGATTTCAGCTTTTTCGGAGTAAGTAAACCAATTGCAATGAAACTTAGGAATTTCAATCTACACATAAAAAGAAACATTTTCACCAAATATTACGTCAAAATATTCAGTAGTTTTTGAGATGTCAAAATTTTGGAAATATTTTGAAATCGTTATATCTTCTTTCCATCTTAACCAAATCACTTAGTTCTTTTTGGAAAAAATTCAGCATAAAAAAACGAAAAATTTTTTTATATTACCGTCAACTGGGGCTATTTTGTGCATCCGGGGGCTATTTTGTGCACGCGAGTTTTTTAATGAAAAAAATTATTAAAATGAATTATTTTAATCTGCTATTTTGTAAAATGAAAGTTTGATTACATGACAATAGAGAGCACTAAATGTTATTATTTAATTCTTTGGCAATTAAGAGAAAAAAATTCCTAAAAACGGAAAATTTGTTTAAAAAATTTTGAAAGTTCGGAAAAATTATACCAGATCTTCTAGAGTTTTAATGTGTCTCATAAACTGTGTTAGATATTTGTTTTCAATTGTGTTGTGATGATACATACGTAATGCGCTAACTTTTTATTCATTATTTTAAGAGAAAAGTGGAAAAAACTGAAAAACCAGGATTCCATGGGGCTATTTTGTGCACTTAAAAAAATCAAATATTTTTCATAAATATTTTATTTAGTAAGTAAAGAAGATTCTGTTTATCATTTTTATACATTTTTGTCTTACTTTTCTGTCAAAAAACTGTAAATACGTTAATTAAAATCATTAAAACGATTAAAAGCTCTACCGGTGCACAACGTAACCTCAAAAAATGAACTTTAATTAATATTTATAAGTTTTTCAAATTAGTTTTAAAACTATTTTCTCGTTTCTCTTAAAATAACTTGAAAATCATATTAGATATTAAATTGTTATCTATTTAACCTTAAAAATATTTATTTCAAGTTTTTTAAAAATATCATTTAAAACAATTAAAAAAGCTCCTATTGAAATGATGTTTTAAAGTTATTTATAAGTGTTTAAACGATCATTTTATAATTATATTAGTATATTATTATAAAATATATATTAAAAAAGAAAAAAAATTTATTTACTATCTGCGTAATATACAATTTAAAGAAAGATTGTTAATTTTTAGTAAATCCAGATTTTAGCAAAATTTTAGTGCTTTATTTTACATTTTTTGTATAGTATATCTACAAAAAAAATTTTACTAGGTCATTCTTTTTTTAACTTACTCTCAAATATATACACAAAAGATTTCATGAAGCAGAAACGATTAAAAAAATTGTTTACGCAACATTACAGAAAAGCAAAGTTCGATGCACAAAATAGCCCCATCCCGGGAGTTATTGTGTTCACGACTTTCAATGACTATAACTAAGACAAAAAAATTTTTTTCTTTGCAAAAGGACCCCGCACCAAATACATGGGAAAAAAGATCCCGGTGAAATTTTGTTATACTTCGCAATTTTGTAGTTTATGACCTTCTGATTAAGAAATGTAAATGCCAAAACTCAAAATAATGGACAGTTTTTTTGTTATATAACATTAAAGACATAAAAGGTACTGTACAAACTACAGCTTAAAAAGGGTAAAGCGCGCAACATAGAAAATGATAAACAGAATGAAATAAATATTATGCAGCTCTCCAAAGCAAAGAACATTTATTTAAAAGCGTTTAAAGTTCATGTATGGTAAATATTACTGCAACCAACAACCATAAAACAACCATTGTTGATAAAAAGTCACACGCTTTTATTTTAGAAGAGTAGAAAGATTTTTTGATATTCCTACAACAATTATACTCCTAGATTGTGTAGTCGAAAGTGTTAAAAAAATATTATAGTAGCTACCAACAACCATACAACAACCATTGTTCATTAAAAGTTACACACAATCATTTAAACTAACTTTTAAAGACTCTTATTTTTTTCAAATATTGTACGCCTATAATGTGCAGTCGAATGTGTTAAAACAATATTATAGTTGCTACAAACAACCATACAACAACCATTGTTGAATCAATGTCACTCAGAATTGATTAAAGTACATAAAAAAGTCTACCTAATTTTTTGTTAACACTGACAGGCCTAGATTCTGTAGCCGTATGTGTTAAAAAATATTATAGTTGCTACCATACAACAACCATTCTTGATTCAAAGCCGCACACGATCATTATCTTTTTATGTGTTGAGAAAAAGTGCATTTTAGAAATAGGAGGAGTTTAATATTTTTTTATTGGCTAAAAGTCTTAATTTTTTTTAAAAGGTTGAGACTTAAATGTTATATTTTTAAAAATTGAATATTCTCGCCATTTTTAAATTGAAAAACGAAAAAGAAATCAGCATTTTAGAAAAAGGAGGAGTTTAATATTTTTTTATTAGCTAAAAGTCTTTATTTTTTTAGGGGTTGAGACTAAATGTTATATTTTTAAAAATTAAATATTCTCGCCATTTTTTAATTGAAAAACGAATAAGAAATCAGCATTTTAGAAAAAGGAGGAGTTTAATAGTTTTTAATTGGGTAAAAGTCTTTATTTTTTTAGAGGTTTAGACTAAATGTTGCATCTTTAAAAATTAAATATTCTCGCCATTTTTTAATTGAAAAACGAATAAGAAATCAGCATTTTAGAAAAAGGAGGAGTTTAATATTTTCTTATTAGCTAAAAGTCTTTATTTTTTTATAGGTTGAGACTAAATGTTACATTTTTAAAAATGAAATACTCTTGTTATTTTTAAATTGAAAAACGAATATGAAATCAGCATTTTAAAAAAAGGAGGAGTTTAATTGTTTTTATTGGCCAAAAGTCTTAATTTTTTTTAGAGGTTGAGACTTAAATGTTATATTTTTAAAAATTGAATATTCTCGCCATTTTTAAATTGAAAAACGAAAAAGAAATCAGCATTTTAGAAAAAGGAGGAGTTTAATATTTTTTTATTAGCTAAAAGTCCTTATTTTTTTAGGGGTTGAGACTAAATGTTATATTTTTAAAAATTAAATATTCTCGACATTTTTTAATTGAAAAACGAATAAGAAATCAGCATTTTAGAAAAAGGAGGAGTTTAATAGTTTTTAATTGGGTAAAAGTCTTTATTTTTTTTAGAGGTTTAGACTAAATGTTGCATCTTTAAAAATTAAATATTTTCGCCATTTTTAAATTGAAAAACGAATAAGAAATCAGCATTTTAGGAAAAGGAGGAGTTTAATATTTTTTTATTGGCTAAAAGTCTTTATTTTTTTAGAGGTTTAGACTAAATGTTATATTTTTAAGAATTGAATATTCTCGCCATTTTTAAATTGAAAACCGAATAAGAAATCAGCATTTTAAAAAAAGGAGGAGTTTAATAGTTTTTAATTGGGTAAAAGTCTTTATTTTTTTAGAGGTTTAGACTAAATGTTGCATCTTTAAAAATTAAATATTCTCGTCATTTTTAAATTGAAAAACGAATAAGAAATCAGCATTTTAGGAAAAGGAGGAGTTTAATATTTTTTTATTGGCTAAAAGTCTTCATAATCTGGGAGTATAATTGTCTGAAATAAAATAAAAAAATGTAAAAAAACATACCAAAAAAATTGGCACAAAACTAATACCTTCTCATATGATAAGAAAGTAATCAAAATAAAAAAAGAAATAATTAAAAAAATAAGGGAGACTTTTTAGGAACTTTAAATGATTGTATGTGACTTTGAATCAACAGTGGTTGCTGAATGGTTGTTGATAGTAACTGTATTTTTTTACCACATTCGGCTAAACAATCTAAGGCTATCTGTGTTAAAAGAAAATAAGAAAGGCTTTTTATGTATACTTAAAATGATTGTGAGTGACTTTCATTCAACAATGGTTGATGTATGGTTGTTGATAGCAACTATAATATTCTTTTAACACATCGGATTACACAATCTGGGCGAATAATAGTTAGAAGAAAATAAGGGATTATTTTAAGGTACTTTCAATAAATGTGTGCGACTTTGATTCAACCATAATCGTTTTATGGTTGTTGGTAGCAACTTCAATATTGTTTTAACACATCCCGCCACACAATCTGGGCATATAATTGTTGGAGAAAAATGTCGGAGGCTTCTAAGTTACTTTAGTCAATTCTGCATGACATTAATTCAACAATGGTTGTTGTATGGTTGTTTGTAGCAACTATAATATTGTTTTAACACATTAGACTGCACAATATAGGCGTATAATATTTGAAAAAAATAAGAGTCTTTAAAAGTTAGTTTAAATGATTGTGTGTAACTTTTAATGAACAATGGTTGTTGTATGGTTGTTGGTAGCTACTATAATATTTTTTTAACACTTTCGACTACACAATCTAGGAGTATAATTGTTGTAGGAATATCAAAAAATCTTTCTACTCTTCTAAAATAAAAGCGTGTGACTTTTTATCAACAATGGTTGTTTTATGGTTGTTGGTTGCAGTAATATTTACCATACATGAACTTTAAACCCTTTTAAATAAATGTTCTTTGCTTTGGAGAGCTGCATAATATTTATTTCATTCTGTTTATCATTTTCTATGTTGCGCGCTTTACCCTTTTTAAGCTGTAGTTTGTACAGTACCTTTTATGTCTTTAATGTTATATAACAAAAAAACTGTCCATTATTTTGAGTTTTGGCATTTACATTTCTTAATCAGAAGGTCATAAACTACAAAATTGCGAAGTATAACAAAATTTCACCGGGATCTTTTTTCCCATGTATTTGGTGCGGGGTCCTTTATAGGAAACCTTCAGAAGGATGTCCACAACATATATCAAAAGTTGATTTTCTTTATTCTCTTAATTCTGAATTTAAATAAATCTTTGAATAAAAAAAAAGCTATTTGGTGCACAAAATAGCCCCGGTTGACGGTATCTTTATAAAAAATTTTTATAAACAAAAAAGTTATTAAATAATAATTGAATAACTTTTGCACGACTAAACGAAATTGAATGAGGCAAACACTAAACAAATCTTCGCTCTGGTTTTTTTAAGATTCCGAAAAAAACATGGTACATCACGAAACATTTCTATACAATATTTTAATATTTTTGTTCACTTTTAAGCGTAAACATTAGAAGTTTCTGCTACTTTACGTGAAAATTCAGGTGCGCGCGCAGACCTCTCTCTCTGAAACCGGAAATTCGTAGATGATTAGAAAGAGAGGTCTGCGCGCGCACCTGAATTTTCACGTAAAGTAGCAGAAACTTCTAATGTTTACGCTTAAAAGTGAACAAAAATATTAAAATATTGTATAGAAATGTTTCGTGATGTACCATGTTTTTTTCGGAATCTTAAAAAAACCAGAGCGAAGATTTGTTTAGTGTTTGCCTCATTCAATTTCGTTTAGTCGTGCAAAAGTTATTCAATTATTATTTAATAACTTTTTTGTTTATAAAAATTTTTTATAAACATAATATAAAAAAATTTTTCGTTTTTTTATGCTGAATTTTTTCCAAAAAGAACTAAGTGATTTGGTTAAGATGGAAAGAAGATATAACGATTTCAAAATTTTTCCAAAATTTTGACATCTCAAAAACTACTGAATATTTTGACGTAATATTTGGTGAAAATGTTTCTTTTTATGTGTAGATTGAAATTCCTAAGTTTCATTGCAATTGGTTTACTTACTCCGAAAAAGCTGAAATCTCCCATGGAATCGCACTATAAATATATTATATTTATATTTTATAAAAATAATTTTTGTAAGATTTGTCTATAGTTATTTTTCACTCCATAAAAGTCGAAATAAGTTGCATTTTATATGAAAAATGTGGTATTTTGTTGCAATATTTATAAGAAAAGTTGAAAAAGTTGCAATTTTTGAAATTAAGTCGAAAAACTCATAACATCCGAGGTCTGTGAATATTTAATTTAAATAAGCAATAAAAAGAAGAAATTTTCTAAACTACTTAATAATTTGAAAGACATAAAAGGACTATTTATCTTTTTACAGACACCAATGGAAAATGCAGTTGGCAAAATAAAAAGCTAATGAGTCCGAACATTAGAAAACAGTAAGAAACCATTATTATTTTGTTTCTTACATTTCAAATTTCGCAAAAAAGATTTTTTTGCAATTCGTCCATTTTTTACAATTTAAATAATAGTTATTTTTACATGTCTAATATTTTTAGAATATGTAATGATAAATAAAATACCTACTACTTCCTTTTTTTGTAAAAGGAGAATCATCTTTCGAAAATGCACATATAATATAATTATTTTTTAAATTATGATCAAATTTCTCACTTTAAAACTTTTGTTTCCTTTTTTGTATTTACTTTTAATTTTGTTTGCTTTATAACTCTATGCACGCAAATGAAAAAGAATTTTTAAAAATGTTGAATTTACCATCGGTTGTTCTGCTGAAGGGCATGCCACAATTTTCGAGTTCAATGACGGCCTTGGGCGCTTCGCGGGTCATGTAATGAATGGCATCCTGATCGCCGAGCCAATCGGATCCTTTAACAGTGTCGTACATGTGCCACTGCCAATTGTCCTCCTCCATATTGCCGAGAGCGGCATTAATTCCACCCTGAGCGGCCACTGTGTGTGACCTCGTTGGGAATAATTTTGTGATGACAGCGGTTTTAAAACCCTCCGCGACGAGGCCGTAAGCTGCCCGAAGACCTGCTCCACCGGCGCCAACGACAACCGCATCGTAAGTATGGTCAATCAATGGATAGTTCTTCGCAACACCATCCGAAGACTTTGCGTATTTCGTGTCCGGTCCATAGTGTAATTGACGGCTTGCAATTAGAGGTAAACCTAATTTATTCTGCAAAAAACTCATTTTATTAATCATTACTAATGAAAACAAATAAAATATTGCATTAAACATAAATCAATTTTAATAACTTACTACAAACTAATTAAATAATAAATTATTAATTATAAATAAACCTTTAGACAGTTTGTTTACAGGGTGTCCAGCGAAGACATGAAATAAAATTCCCGTACATTTCCCGTTTAAATATACAAAATTCCCGAATTTTTTTGCGTAGTTATATTATTCCATTAATTTTAAATTTTGTTATTAAAAACGCCTATATCATAAAATATCATAAAATTTTAAAGATTTATAGGTATATTTATAAGATAAATTTGTGTACATAATTTTATATGGTTACAAGGCTCGAACCAGTGAAAGAATTTATTTTTCGAATATTCTTCAATTAAATATAGGTATATTTTTAGAAAATAAAAACATAAAATGGCTGAATCCATTTCAAATCAGGCGAGGCAGGTCGACTAACTTCAAGTTATAGATTTAGCTGTCACTAAAATATGTTAAGGTACTGCCATAGCTCGCTGCTGCCTGCGCAGACAGCTGAGATACAATGAGAGTAAGGGAGAAAGAAAATTCAAATTCATGCTTTTTCTCCCTCACTCTCATTGTATCTCAGCTGCCTGCGCAGACAGCAGCGAGCTATGGCAGTACCTTTATTGTACATGAAAAACAAAGAGACACGTATTTTTTTATTTTTCAAAAAAGCTAAATTTAAAGAAGTTACGCACATTTGAACTTTAAGTGGTAAAACTCGAATGAACAGTGAAAAAAAATTGTTTTGCTTGTCATTTTTTTTCTTTTGAGTATAATTTAATTTTCTTTCTCGGGTCTTGTAGATGGTCTTGTCCTCTTCAAAATCCAGTTTGAAATTAGAAAAAATATTTAAAATTATAAAAATAGGGAATGATTTTCTGAAAATAAATAAGATCAATTTTCTCAAAAACACCACCTTTTTTATCATAAGATGGTAAATGGGTTTTTTCCGTGATAATAATTATTATAAGATGGACCTTTTTTTGTTATCAAATTTTTACTACAAATTCTTAAAATAATTATGAACATTTCCTATGAATTTCAAGCGGGCTGAATCATTCTGGCAATCAGGAGAATTTTTTTTTGAAATATTTATTTTCACAAATTGTCAAATTGTTAACGTTCACGTCAACAATGTTATAACGATTCATTTGTTTTTAAAAATGCAAGTTAACAATTTGAAAATTTGCGATAATAAATATTTCAAAAAAAAATTCTCTTGATTGCCAGAATGGTTTAGCCCGCTTGAAATTCATAAGAAATGTTCATTATTATTTTAAGAACTTGTAATAAAAATTTGATAATAAAAAAAGGTGGTGTTTTTGAGAAAATTGATCTTATTTATTTTCAGAAAATCATCCCCTATTTTTATAATTTTAAATATTTTTTCAAATCTCAAACTGGATTTTGAAGAGAACAAGACCATCTACAAGACCCAAGAAAGAAAATTAAATTATACTAAAAAAAAAAAAATGCCAAGCAAAACAATTTTTTTTCACTGTTCATTCGATTTTTACCACTCAAAGTTCAAATGTACGTAACTTCATTAAATTTATCTTTTCTGAAAAATAAAAAAATACGTGTCTCTTTATTTTTCATGTACAATAACATATTTTAGCGACAGCTAAATCTATAATTTGAAGTTAGTCGCCCTGCCTGATTTGAAATGGATTCAGTCAAATATAATTTTAAAATAATTAATTCTACAGAATTGTTAGTTAACAGTATGAAAAATTCAAATTCTCAAGGTCTTTAATTTGAAACCATTTCAAAATTCCATTATTTATAAAAATTCATGCAATAAAATTTTTAAAAATAATTAAATTTCGCAGAAATTTTATTACTTATAAAGATAATTGAAATTTCGAAAAGGATTTTCTTAAATTTTTTAATATAGGTTGAATTTCTCCGAATAATTGAATTCCTTTAAAAAATTTTGTCTAAATAATTGAATTCTTTTGGAAAATTTTATTAAAATGTCGTATAAATAAATTTATTATTATATTTTAATAAAATATAATTTTATATTTTAATACAATTTTTAATTTATCTATAGATATATTGAAAATGATTGAATTGAGGAAAACATGAAAATAATTGAAATTTTGACAAGAATTTTATTGAAATTACTTATAAAGATAATTGAAATTTGACGAGAATCTTTCAAAATTTTGAAACATAAATTGAATTTCTGCGAAGAATTTAATTACTTTTAAAAATAATTGAAATTCAGTTGTAGCTTCTCAAAAATTCTCCAAATTGTATCATAAAATTTACGGTTTTTTCGTATTTTTTCAAACAAATTATGGATTTTTTTACATTCTCATCGCATGAGAAAGTATTAGTTTTGGTCGAAAATTGAATTTTGCTAATTTCATGAAATCTTTACGTTTTAAGGTCCCCTGAACCCGAAAAACATGGTCTGGCGAGTACGTCTGTCTGTGTGTCTGTCTGTATGTATGTATGTCCGTCTGTAGACCAAAATGTTGTTCCCACGATAACTCTTTAAAAACTTATCGGATCGTTTTTAAATTCAACACACTTAAAGTTGGTGTAAAAATGAAGGCTAAGTTCGTTAACCAGCCATTTTCGTTGAAAACTACAAAAACTATACTGAAAATTCAATTTTTTCACATTTCAAAGCTATTAACTTTATATTCTTTTAGATTAGAAATATACAAACAACTTTTCTCTATAACATTTTTTCATAAAAACTTATTTTTTTTTAAGTTTTTGGCCCAGACCAGCTCAACTGTGTTAAAATTTTTTTATTGATTTTCTAAAATATTAAATCTTTTATAAATGTCTGTAGTTCACAACAAAACAAAATAACTCTTTCAACCATTTTTTGCATTAACAAAATATTACAACAGTTAAAAAAAATTAATAACTCAAAAAAAACAATTTTATAAACAATTTGAATTATTTATATATTGTACCCCTCTAATTGCAATTAAACTTATAGAAAATGTACTAAGTAGTTTTCTTCTTGAAGTTGGGCAAAAAAACATGAAGATATTTTATGATTTTATCAATTTTACCAACAGTTTAAACAAATAATTGTTATTTAGAAATGAAGTGCTGGCTGCAATAAGGGGACGAACGCGTTGTTGAAAGGGATAATACCAGTCAGGTAGCAGTAAGCGGCTCAAGGCTTGTCACTGCTACCCGACTGGCAGTATCCCATCCAAGCCTTGCGTTTGTCCCCTTATTTGCAGCTAGCACTTCAAATCACGTACGCAAAAAACTTGATACTTGTATTTTTAAAATATTGTAGCTTCTTAAGCAAAACATTTTTCTGCAAAGATAATTAGTGATTAAAAATATTTTCATATTTTCCAACAGCAAGAACAAAAATTTGCAGTAAGTTCACTTAATCTGGCAAATATCAGCAAACAAAAATATGTGATGAGAATGTAATCCTTAAAGTCGTAGTAACTTTAAGAAAAAAAAATGGTTTCAGGAAACGTATATAGGAAACAGAATAAAGAACGCAAAGTTCGATCCTTGTGCTTAAAATTCCCGGTGGCAGAAAAAATCCCGTATGTTCCCGTACATTTCCCGCACCAAAAAATTCCCCGGACGCTGGACACCCTGTGTTAAAATTTCTTAAAATTAAAAATCTACTATACGTTAGACGTTATTTCTCTCAATGAATATTTTAAAATAAGTTTTTTCTTTATAGTTTATTAATTAATGTTACATTTATAGTTTTTATTTACTTCCTATTTCTTATATAAGTTTCTTTAAAGTTTCTAAACTTCTCTTGGAAATGAATTGATTTGTTCAAAAAAATATTTAATTTACGTTGTTTTTTTAAAGTTAAACTTATTATTACACTAATTTATTTATTTATTAATAGTATTACTTCTAAAAATTAACTTAAATAAATTAATAAATTTTATGTTATATATATTTCAATGTTATAATAAGCAAATAATTTAAATAAATTACTTAAATAATTTTTTTAATAAATGTTTTCTTAGAACTTTCATACAAATCGGTTTATTTTATTCTTATGCTTAAATAGTGATTTTTTGACTAACACTAAATATTTAAGTTTTTCAGACTTCAGTTTCAAGTCGACGCAAAACTAAATTTATTTTGTTAATTTAGTTGCGGGTCGACCCGAAACTAAATGAATTTTATTAATTTAGTTTCGAATCGACACGAAACTAAATTGAACGTAAATTTTTAATTTAGTTTCGTTTCAGTATCGGTCTCTGAAATCAGTAAATAAATGCATAAATAAATATTTAAATAAATTACCTCAAAAATTACATATTTATAAATATTTATAAATGTTTATTTATAATGTATTTTTTCTGTCGCAAAATAAAAACTATATACAAAAATTAAAATTTTTCCAAATGAAACCATAAACACTTGAAACAACTTAACAGACTAATAAGAATACCTTCTTGAATTTAATTTACATAGTATTATCGTATACAAGAATAGAATTGTTTTTAAAATGAAAAAAGTAGGTTGTTTCTTCCTTTTTTAAAATCATTAAATAAACTGTGAAAATCATAAAATATAATTATATAAATTTCATAATAAAACTGCAATGACTAACATTTTTAGAAAAAATCATCCTTGAAAGGCATTTTTTTTAATTTCAATTAGACGAAAGTGTGGGAAAAAGAGATAAAAGATAAGAAATTGATTCTTCTCATGAGATATCTAACGTCTATCATATTGAATTTTAATGATGATTTAATTTAACATTTGATAGACAATTTGTCTCTTATCATAATGAAAACTGAGATTACATAACAATCTTTCATTTATATCCATATGTTGCATACCCAGTGCAATTACCTCGCACAGTTTATAGTTATGAAATATCTTTGATTTAAAGCTCAATCTTTATTGCACTCAACTGACGTGTCCAATTACTAAAGAAAAAATTTTTTTTACCTCGATACGATTAAAAAAATGTAAATTATAATTAACCTTAAAATTTAAATAATAATTTTTAATACTTTATTCAATAGAAAGTAATATTTACAAAAATATAGAAAATAAATTTTAATATTATTTTTACTTTTTTCAAATTAAATATTTCCAATTAAAATTATGATTTTTTCATAAAAAACAAATTGTTACGTAAATTATTATGTTGATTTTAAAAAAATTCTAATTTATGATATTAAAAGAAAATTGGTTGTAATTGATCATTTTATAGAATAATTTACCTATATTTATTTAGAAGATAAAAGATTGCTTCTCAAACATTACTCCCAATAAATGTCACCGATATATTAATTTACAGTTTACTGATTATTTTTCCCCCGTTTAAAATGATTCTTACCAGGAAAGAATGAAACTCTCAATATTAAAAGTCTTCTCAACATATTTTTAGACTTGTAAAATAAAATTATTTTTTGTTAAAATTCGAATGAAATCCTTCAAAACAAATGAGACAAAACATGAGTCGTCTGCTAGACACCAAATCCATATATCAGTACCGTATTGTTTAAATTTGAACATTGGCATTCCATTGTTTTGAATAATTTATTATTACACTCATATGTAACAAACAACAATTGTTCATACAGACTTATGTAATAATATAATTATATAGATTCAAAATCATAAAGCCAAGTTTTATTTTTTGTAAGATTGTAGTATAAAAAAATTATGTAACTCAAAATTTGTCTTACCAGTGTCGTGGTTGGGAAATTTTTCGCTAAAATAGTTGATACTTTTAGTAATCCGTTCATGATTGTTTTTAGACCTAATTGTCAGTTCAATATCTATATTAATCGACAATCTGCCAAACAGAACTAACCACAATTTTTTCCAACCTCGCGCACTTCTCCGCACGTTAGTGTGATTTACTTTTGAGAAAGGTTGAGTACCGACTGAAATTTGTGGGCTGAATTTTAACCATTGCTGCCAACATTATAAAAGTTCATTGAAACACCTGCACCACTTTGGTACTTAATTAACAACATTTTTTAATATTACATAATAATTTTAACTATTAAAATCATTATATAATGCATGAAAACAGATAATGGTTTACAAAAATATGTTAGATTATTTGTAACAATATTTTTATTACCGGGACATTTCATTAAGCGGCAAATTCAAATCTTGTTTTACATTTATTGGTGACAATGCAACAGTGTCTCTCAATCAAAATCCCCAAAGAAAATTCAAGTTTTGAAAAAATTCTTTTATTTTATATTTTTAAGAGTAATAAAAAAGAAATTTAAAAAAAATACATAAATAATAGACTGTAAATTAGTTCTAATAATATAAATAATAAAATAGGAACATTTATCAGTCATTTTGATCTCTTTGTCCAGTATTTTTATACTTTGCATATTTTTCAATAAATAATAATAACATTTATATTATTATCAACTTTTTATTAAAATGATTGAATTAATTGTTTATTGTAAATTTAAAAAATTCATGCATGGTAAAATATTTAAATAAAAGCCCCGACATAAGAATGTGAGGTTAGGAAGTATTTTATTTAAAAAATTGACATAAAATATTAACAAACTATGATATTTTTATAATATTTTGAAACTTTTTAACAACAACTATTAAATTCAATTATTGCAAAGATTAAATTTAATGTTAATAATTCAAGAAAATACTTTACTTTTGTGTTCTCAAGAATGTTTTTAAGAAATCGAAAAAATTAAAAAAATTTTATAATTTTAATATAAATGTAAATAATGTTTCGTAAGTCAACATCTAATATTAGAAAAATAGTATTTTTTAACTTACAAACGGAGCTTTTATAATAAAATGAAATAACTTTTTATTTTTATTAATTTTTGTTATGCGCAAACGAACTGCACATGCTTTAAATAGAAATGCGGGAAAATTTGAAACTTGAAAATAATAAAAAACAAAGGAAAAGTAACAACCAATGCACAAGTATAAATAAAAAACTATTTAAATGAATAATTATTTAAAAATGAAGCACATTTCCGTGAGAAAATAATTAAAATGTTTTAATTCTTATAGATTTTTCAAATGATCTTTTACAATAAGGCTACTTTTCAAATTAAAATTGTACTTGAAATTTTTCTAAAGCCAATTCAATATGTGCGAATTGCTGGGGGTACATGTTGAGCTTCTTCTTCATCCAAAGTTGTATCAATTACAGGGCGATAAGAAATACTCATCTAGATAATTAATTATTATTTTCATAATTCAATCTTTCACTCAATAATTATTTACAACCAGAAAAAAGGTATATTTGGCTCAGAACCAACTCGACTTTTTATTTGGTTTAAATAAAATTTTATTTGGCTCCAATATATGTTTTATTTATGTCGAATAAAGTTTTTATTTAAAACAAATAAAAAGTCTAGTTGGTTCTGAAACAAATATACGTTCATTTAACTCAAATAAAATATATTTGGTTTAAATAACATTTCTCTCTGGGTGCACTGAATTTATAATATTTTTATTATTATAACAAAAAATACATCAATGCAAAACTTTTTATTTGCAAATTATATTGTAAATAGATAAATTATAAAGAAAAATAAGTAATTGTAAATTGTAATTAATAGAAATTGATAATTTTTTTCTATTTAAAAAATAATATAATAAAAATCGAACAAGTAATAATATAGTAATAATAATAATAATGGATTACTATTATATTATACATGTAATTATTAAATGTTTTAATAAATAATTAATGGCGAAATTTAACGAAATTTTTATACTTACAGAACCATCATCAGCAGCCCAAGAAAGTGTGTGTTTTCTCCAATGTTTATCCAAAGGTAACTTTTCTTGACCCTCAATTGGTTTCGTATAATCATATTCATCGATTCTCGACTAAAAACAAACACATTCTTTAAAATTTAATTAAAAGTTTTTTTAAACTAAATATTTCATTTATTTTAATATGTACAATTTGAATTCCGAATTTAGTATTTCACTTATGTAAAATATTTTATTACATAAAATCTGATAATCAGTTTGTATAATTAATAACTACAATAAATAAGCGCGCGAAACGCGATATTCTATTTATTATTATTTTGTAAATTACAAAATTTTGTATTTTCAAATATAAACATCAATTTTTGAATAATTGAGCGGATATGGGAAGAAGAACTCGCCGAGCGCTCGAACGAAATAAGGGATAGTTCCAGTCAGGTAGCAGTGTGTGGCCCAGAGGCGCTCACTGCTACCTGACTGATATTATTTCTTACAACCATGCGCTCGGCGAGTTCTTCTTCCCATACGCTCAATTTCAGATTCAAAATTTAAAAAATGCACTTATTAAGTAGGGGAGAGACTGGGGCGAAAGGTTAAATTTTGCATAAATTATTTTTTTTAAACAATATAATACGCTTAGATGCACTGAGAAAACTGGAGTATTGGACTAAACATCTGGAGGGACAAATCGTTGATATTTGAGAGTTAGCTATTGGATAACAATCTAAATGTTCAAATACTGACCATTGACAGATATTCGTGCCATTTCTCTTGGAGGGAAAATGAGTTTATAACAGAGGGACAAATTAACCATCTTGAGAAATCCCTTCCTTATCCGGCGCGAAATGAATAAATATGGCAACCTAACCCCCAAAATTAAATACATAAAATGTCAGAAAAATAATTTCGCGCGCATCAGATCGTACACATTTTCTGCGCAACTTTTAACCCTCAGATATAATGGGAGAGAATATACAAGTAGATTTCCATTATCAATTCAAAATTTATTTTAGAAGGACTATTTAACTCTCTTCATAAGCAAAGGAAACATACACTTTTTGAACCTCTGAATTTGACTCTCCAGTTTTCTCAGTGTGCAAATATTTATATATCAATATTGTAGGGCAACTTGTCCTCTACAACTTTCAATAAAAAAGTTTCTGATATTTTCGCATAAAACACATGTTTTGTCCTTTTTTGAAAATTTTGTTTTTTTTAACTTTTCGCCCCATGCTGGGGCGAAAATTTAAATGGCTGGGGCTAAATGTTAAATTCTATTTTAGCCTACTAAAACTATTTTCTGATAGGTGTGTTTATTTATTATTTAACAAAAGCTTTAGAACAGTTATACAGTTAATAAACTAAAATTTAAAAGAAAAAAAATTTTGGTTTATTTCACGTGAGCGGTCTTGTTTCTTGACAGAGTACTTGTCTAATGTCAAATAAATCATTTTTAAACAATTAAACAAAAAAAAACGAAAAATGTTAAAAATATTTTTAACAACATGTAAAAATACATTTAACTTTTCGCCCCAGGGTGCATTTTTGGCTTTAACAACAAATATAAAAATTCTGACTAAAGATATTTAGCAAATACTTTTAGGTATACATATCTCTTCAGGAGACCCAAATAAGGACCTAAAAAAATCGTGATGAGAATAAATTCAAAAAATATACTTAAAAGTTGATATTTTCTTTTACGAAAAAATTTTCAAAACTAGGGTGAAAAAAAAATTTTAATATGGACACCACAAAAATGAACAGAATGTCACATACATAACTCCGGACATTTATTTAGGGTGATAACACCCTTTTATAATTAAAATTGCAATGCTCTAACTATTTCCGTTCGAAAGATAATGAATTTTAACTGTTTTCACAGTTTATAACCTTTCACCCCAGTCTCCCCTATACAATATAATAAATTTTTCTTGTTTACTATTTTCAACAATTTTAATAAAATTGTTCACAAGAAGTCAATTATTTTCATAAATAATAACATTCTCTGGAAGAATTCAATTATTTTCATAAACAATTAAATTCTTCGCAGTAATTAAATTATTTTCAAAAGAATTTTAATAAAATTTCACGAAAGGATTCAATTATTTTCAAACATATTTAATACAATTTTTTGACAGATTTTAATTATTTCTTGAAATTTTGATAAAATTTTCTTCGAAACATTTAATTATTTTCAATACAATTTTTATAAAATTTCTCGAAAGGATCCAATTATTTATCAAAATTGTAATAAAATTTTTCTAAAAAACTTAATTATTCTCAAAAGTTTTAATTAAAATTATTTAAAAAATATACATTATTTTCAAGAAATTTAAAGAAATTCTTCAAAAAAATGTAATTATTTATGGGTTAAAATAAAAAAATCGTTGAAATATTGTCCTGATGGATAAATAATAATTCGTTTGTTAAAAATTCATGATTTTAAATACAAACATCTTGCAGAGTATAATTTTATCTACAATACCTGGTTATTTAATTTAATTTTTTATTGATACAACAGGTACAAAATAGTAAAAATATGTCCAAAATGTCATCGTGTCCCGTGTCCCTATATACGTTTTACGATATAAAAAAATTTTTAATTCAATTTTTTATTATATAAAATAAAATTTCTCTTCGTGTACGTGTTCTCCAATGTATAAAGTGTAATATAGGAAAGTGTTGAGAATTTTTATAACACTAAATGCGAAATTTAAAGAATTTTTAACGTGTCCCCAGATTTGAAATTTTTTAATGGCATCGTGTCCTCACACACATATTTACCGGTTTTCCAATTGGTATCGCAATTAAAAGTTAAAAAACTATGAAATAAATCAAGTACGATATAAATTTGATAATACGTGAGTATAGAGAAATGTCAAAATCAATTTAAAAATCAGTAAAATGATATTTTGATGGGACGCATGAATAATCTCTAGAAATTATTAGTTAGAAGTTTTAAATGATTGAATTTCATTAATTAGAAATTTTTCTTTTAGCAGAATTTCATTTTTTTCGAATTTTTGTTTAATCGATTTTAAATTTTTTAATTGACCCGAATATTTACATTAACAGATTTATAAATACTCGAATTTTTATTTATGAGAATTATCATTTAACACAATTTCCATTAATGGTACTTTTCATTAAAATGAATTTATTAACTTTTAAAAAGTTAGGCACATATTGTCGATTTTTTGATTTTGACCCTTTTATGATAACTCTAATAAAATTTCTTATAAGAATTTAATTTTCTATCGGCAATTTTAATAAAATTTAGGGTAGGGTGGGGCATTACTATTCGCGGGGCGAAACTATTCTTTAGTCCTAGAGAGAAAACTATTCATCCGATTAAAGTCTTTTTTACACTGTATACTTGTCATGTGAAATGAACATTGTACGCCACATTTGAGCTTCTGGCGCCATCTATCATAGGAGTTAGGTACCCAAATGTGATTTTGATATACTCGCTTACTTATTTTCACTCATTTACACGGAAAAACCTTTGAGAAGTCTGCCTTCCCACTGTCACAAAATTTTGCTTCTCACTGCATGGAAAGTCTGATCACCCGCCACTGGGTGCGTAGCATTACCGTTTTCGATAGACAAACTTCCCAAAAAGTTTAGAAAATTACAACTGGGTACGTTGGTCACCCAGTTTGGGAGTGCAGATGAACAAGTTTAGTGGTGGCGCTGACGCATACACGGAAAAACCTTTAAGCAGTCTGCTCACCCGAAACTTATGCGTCAGCGCCACCACTAAACTTGTTCATCTGCACTCCCAAACTGGGTGACCAACGTACCCAGTTGTAATTTTCTAAACTTTTTGGGAAGTTTGTCTATCGAAAACGGTAATGCTACGCACCCAGTGGCGCGTGATCAGACTTTCCATGCAGTGAGAAGCAAAATTTTGTGACAGTGGGAAGGCAGACTTCTCAAAGGTTTTTCCGTGTAAGTTTCGGGTGAGCAGACTGCTTAAAGGTTTTTCCGTGTAGTCTGCCATTGTAAATAGTGATAAACGGTCGGAAAAATTATTTTTAAAATCAAATTTAGTGCTGAACACGAATATGATGATGGATTTTTGATATTCTATTGTTAAAAAATTTTACAAGTTTTTTTTCATAAGTAAAAAAAAAGTATTGGGAGGTACGGGATTCCGTATTGCAAGTGCCAACCTGCCAATGCGGTATTCGCGAATTACCGCATTGGGTGTCCTGGTGAATACGGAAATCAAGGGGTCCCAATGCGGTGCCAGTTTTAAGCTTTAAAAAAACGAAAATACGTGACAGGAGGAAATAATTAGTGTCAGTGGAGAAATATGCGAGTTAAAGGAATGAGAAAATAATAATAGTGAGTGTAAAAATGAAACTTTAAGAAAAAAGGTAAGTTGAACTGTCAAATATGAGTCCAATGCGGCGTAGGCTGCTTTCAATGCGGTACACAATCGGTACATAGTGCAAGTCGCTAGTAGAGGGCAGAAGCAAGCAGAGCGAATCGAGCGAACACAGTGGCCCAGTTGACATATGATTTGCATTACATTACTTTCCAATTTTTTATTTTATAACCACGTTTCTGCATGAATCTAAACAATATTTTCGATTATTGTAATTTAGAAGATGCTTATCAATTGTACGTTGGCAGATTTAGTGAAAAGTGTCTGTGTACGGAGACAAATGTGTTAGAAAATGTTTGTTTACCTATTTCACGCCATTCAAACCAGTCAAAGTTGCTTTTGCTGTGGCGCATTGAAATCAGCCTATGCCGCATTGGGCCCATATTTGACAGTTCAACTTACCTTTTTTTCTTAAAATTTCATTTTCACACTCACTATTATTATTTTCTCATTCCTTTAACTCGCATATTTCTCCACTGACACTAATTATTTCCTCCTGTCACGTATTTTCGTTTTTTAAAGCTTAAAACTGGCACCGCATTGGGACCCCTTGATTTCCGTATTCACCACGACACCCAATGCGGTAATTCGCGAATACCGCATTGGCAGGTTGGCACTCGCAATGCGGAATCCCGTACCTCCCAATACTTTTTTTTACAGGGTGTGCGGTTGGGGCGAAACTATTCGCCCACTGATGACAGCGAAAACTACGAAACAATTTTATTTTTTTGTGCTTGTTTTTAGGTTACAATGGTAAGAAATTGAAAGAGAAAAACTCCTCCAATTAACAAATTAATTATTATATTTTTTTTAGTATTATATCATTAATAGCTGCAAGAATAGTTTCGCCCCTCGTTTTTTTCGACATCAAAAAAAGGGTTTCGTAAAATCGCTGTAGTTCGGAACAGAATCGAGTTACAGCAAAATAATACATGGCAAAAGTGTAGCTAAGAAGTCAAGTTTTCAAACGGTCCTACTCATTTTTTTATTTTTTTTAAATACATTTTTTAGACTCAAAAATCCAAACAAGAATAGTAATGCCCCACCCTACCCTAACAATAAAATTATTAATTACAATTATTAGTAAACACGATTATTTGAAAAACTTAAAAGAAATTCTTCGTAAAATTCAATTACTTTCAAAATTTTCAATAAAAATTATTAAAAAGTTACATTATTTTCCAAAAATCAAATAAATTATTCAAAACAATTCAATTATTTAAAAAAAATTAAATTACATTCTTTGGAAGAATTCGATTATTATTTCCAAAAATAATAAAATTCTTTGCGAGAATTCAATTAATTTCAATACAGTTTTAATAAAATTTTTCGAAAATTCATTTTAAAATTCAAAAGGTTTAAGGCACTTTTCCTATGTGATGGCCGAAATTTCAGGCTTTTTTCAGGAATTTTTTTTTTCACTTAAAATAAAATATAATTCTATAACTTATTTTACATGTTATAATTGGTGTCTAAAAGTATACAAAAAATTTTTTTTAGTGATTTTTCAAATCATTTAATAATTATTTTTGTGAGTCAAAGGTGACTCCTTTGAAAATGCACGGGTGAACGGTGACAACGATAACTTTTTTCAGTATTGTCTGAAATAAAAAAATCAATAGTAGTTTTACTCAGTAGGATTACTGTTATCTTGTGAACCTCAATAAACAATTTATCTTAATAAATAACAAAATGGCGGACTAAAAAAAAAATTTCAAAAATCGATTTTTTTTAGTCCGCCATTTTGTTATTTATTAAGATAAATTGTTTATTGAGGTTCACAAGATAACAGTAATCCTACTGAGTAAAACTACTATTGATTTTTTTATTTCAAACAATATTGAAAAAAGTTATCGTTGTCACCGTTCACCCGTGCATAACATGTAAAATAAGTTATAGAATTATATTTTATTTTAAGTGAAAAAAAAAATTCCTGAAAAAAGCCTGAAATAAATTTCGGCCATCACATAGGAAAGGTGCCTTAAAAAGAAAAATTATTTCAAAAGTTAGGAAACAAAGAAGTAAATAAAAACTAACTTCAAACTGCGAACAGATTACCAATAATTAAAACATTAAAAATTGAAAAAAATAAAATTTGATAAACATTATTTTATGAAAGACATTATTTGACAGGTAATATTTAAAAAGTTAAAATATGAAAATGATAAAAATAAAAATATTTTAAACATAATAATATTATTATGCAGAAGTAGAATAGATGTGAAGTAATAGTTGGGATGAATAAAAATTGCTTACTCTAAAATCATCTCTGGCATGAGATCCTCGACTCTCCTTTCGATTTTCTGCTGAATATACAGTGTGTAAACAATTAAGTAGAAGATTTTGCAATTCCAGAGCTTCCACTAATTCAGTATTCCATATGAGAGACTGATCTTGAATCTACATTTTTAAGAATATTCATAAAATAGTAAAACGTTTTTTAATTAAAGAATTTTTTCAATTTATATGTAAAATATATGTTTTGAACTGTAAAAAATTCATAATGAATAGATTATTCAATAAATGTTAATGAATGAAATCAGTTTTTTAATAATAAACGTGATAAATTAATTAAAATGTTTGTGTTCATTTCGTGAACACTTTGTTTCCTCATAAAATTTCCCACTTTATGAATACCACAAAAAGTCATTTTTCGGTAAAACAATTTATATAATTAACAATTTTATTTTTTTTCAACTTACGCAAATGTTTGGTAAGTCGCACATGTATAATCGAGATATATCTCTGCAACCTCTCTGAAGGACATCGCACGTGCGAAACACAGCACAATATTTTTGCATTGTTCTTTGCATATTGTCTCGTAAAATTGACACCGGAATATCACCACTTGAATGAAGAGTTGCATCAAAACGAGAAATCGCTTCATCTCCCAGATTCTAAATTTTTTTTACATAAACAAAATTAATATTTTTAAAATCCGATTTTGGATTTTTAATATAGAAGTTAGAAAATATATTTAAAGAAATAAATAAAAATGCTAAAATAGGGTAAAACAGTTTAAAATAGAGTTTTAATATTTCATACAGAATTTCCATTTTGTAGAGACAACAAAAAATTAAAAATCCAACAAGAGAATTTTAATGCATTTAGAAAAATTTAAACATTGGGTGAAACAATTTAAAATACAGTTTAAATAAAAATGAAGAAGAAAATTAATACAATTACCGGTGAGGTCTCTTCATGGCGTTCACCTGGTTTCGTTAACATTTCAATTTCCTCAGCGACAGCTTTTCCGAAAACAACAATTTCTAAGAGACTATTTGCCCCAAGTCTATTGGCACCATGAACTGAAGTACTCGCAGTTTCACCTATTGCCCAAAGACCGGCTAAAGGCTTGTCTTCTTCGTTTTCTCTCGTGAGAACCTTCAAAATACCAGAAACATTTATTTCAATTATTTTTTCATCCAAGAATTTTTTATTTTTAAAAAAGTCGTTTTATTTATAGAAATTTATTTAAATCTTTATACAATTTTTTCTAAACTTTTCATTTAAATATTCCAAACATTGCAAGTAAATATTTAATACATTTTTAGGAACTTTTCGGTACTGTGGGGGTAAAATATATAAATTTTAATTCTAAATGAAAATTTCATCGATTGTCAAAAAATAATAATAATGGTAATAAAAAAATTTACTTGTGTTTTGTAATTCGTGGGAATTCCTCCCATATTATAGTGTACAGTTGGAATTACAGGCACTGGTTCTTTCTCAGTATTAACACCAGCGAAAACCCAAGCTAAATGTGAAACTCCGGGCAATTTTGTTCGAATTACTTCAGTGGGTAGATGATTAAGTTGCAAATAAATGTGATCTTTTCTCTCTCCAACTCCTCTGTATAAAAAGATTATTTTAAATTTTCATTTCATTGAAACTAATTATTTAATTGTAAATAATTAAAAAATTGATAAATTATGAGATATGACTTTTTTACCTTCCTTCTAAAATTTCCATTGTTATTGCTCTTGATACAACGTCGCGCGATGCAAGATCCTTGGCAGTTGGTGCATAATTTTCCATAAAAAAATCACCATTCGAATTCACCAGTTTTCCACCCTCACCTCTGCATCCTTCGGTCATTAGTACTCCACTTCCGTAAATGCCTATAAATTTCAAAAACAAAATCAATGAGTAAATTTTTAATATCTACATGAAATATATTTGAATTAAACAGAATATTTGAATGTGTAAAAAAGGGCAATTTTTCCAAAGATATATTCAATTGGTAACTCAATTTACAAATTAATTTAAATACGCAAAAAAATCATTTAAAATTCCATCACTATTTTCTTTTATTATTATTATTATTATTATTATTATTATTATTATTATTATTATTATTATTATTATTATTATTATTATTATTATTATTATTATTATTATTATTATTATTATTATTATTATTATTATTATTATTATTATTATTATTATTATTATTATTATTATTATTATTATTATTATTATTATTATTATTATTATTATTATTATTATTATTATTATTATTATTATTATTATTATTATTATTATTATTATTATTATTATTATTATTATTATTATTATTATTATTATTATTATTATTATTATTATTGCGTTGTAAATAGTAAAAATGTTGCAGTAAAAAATATGAATTGATAGAAAAAATACAAAGTATATCGTAATTCATACGAACCAGTTGGATGAAACTGAATAAATTCCATATCCTGGAGAGGAAGACCTGCCCTAGAAGCCATAGCCATTCCATCACCTGTGCACGTATGAGCACCGGTACAAGAAAAAAAACAACGTCCTGACCCCCCAGTTGCCAATATCTACAAGGCAAGTATGCAAATTATTTTTTTGATTGGCAACGTCTGTGATGGATTATGTTAAAAAATAAATAACAAAAAACCTCTACTGCAAAAATAACAAGACGTCCTTCAATTCTTTCCATTCCCCCATCATGAACATTCTACTTTTTATTATTCAGAATTGAACATTTCATTTACTTAGTTTAAATAAAACTAAATAAGAAAACTTTTTTCATTACTACTTATTCGATTTTGAACTTTCTTTTCAGTGAAACTTAAAATTGGGCAGTTCCATAGGAAAAGCAAATGGTGGATCACCGATTTTTTTTAAACTCTGTAATTTTGTAGTACTTGGGGTACTAAATAACTGTGCCAAACAGTTTTCCAAAAAAAATTTTTTGCAAGATATTTACATTTGAAAATTTGGAATTTGAAAAAAATGACTTTTTTCGAGAATTTTTATTTCCACAAGAAAAAGTCATTTATTCAAAATTATAGAAAAAAATGTCAATTTTTTATAATTTTTAAAAAAAATGTAAGAAAAATTAATTTTTCAATAATTTGTTAAAACAATAATTTTTTATTGTTAAAAAAACATGCTAGGAACATCATGAAATTTCCTAGAAAAATTAGTTTCTCAAGATTTGAACTTTCCTTAATAAGTGATTAAATTTTTAAAGAAGTGCTTCTTGATGTTTTTGGGAAAAAAATTTTTGAAGTTTACGCTACGAGTTTTTGTGTATTATACGCTAACTAAGCAGCGCCTATAACAGTGTATTTTAAAAGACGATATGACCTTTACTAACAATATATTTTTAACTTTTTTATAAACATTAATTTCCTTTTCTTAACCCATTAATGCCCATAGGCACAGGAACGCAGATATAAAAAAGTAACTATTGGGATCCTGGCATGGGGTCTAACAATAATTTTTGACGTTAAAAATTTTGTTTAAAAAATTTTGTTTAAACAATTTGTTATAAACAAAGGAAGAAAAATTGATTTTCATAAAAAACTGATAGCGCCATTCGATTCTACGTAAAAAACTACTACGAGAACGTATATTACACAATTTTAAAACAAGTTGTACATCCAGATGTTCATTACATGAACATTTTGCTTCCTCTTTACGATCAGCAAAAAAAATTTGCTTCCTCGTAGAGGAAGCATTAACGATAAGTATATTTCATTTTTAAATCATTTTTAATACAATTTAACATTTATAAAATAAAGTTCATTCGTCTTAACAGAAAGAATAAAATTTTCTTATACAGTAATATAAATCTAAATAAACAAAAAAATGTTTAGTAAAAAAGTGAATTTTTCAACTTTAATTGTAATTAATTCTATAATTTTCAATAGAATATATACTTTATATACATCAATCGATTCATCTTGGTGCAAAGAATAAGATTTTTGATTTATTTTTCAATAAATAATAACATTTTATTGTACAGCAACATGATTTTAAAAAAAATGAATTTTTATTAAAAGTGCAAATTTTTTGTCTATAATTGGTTTTAATTCTATAAATTTAAATACAATATATACTTTATATATACCAATCGATCCGTCTTGGTGCAAAGAATAAGATTTTAGAAATAAATGAGTAAGATTTTCTTATACAGCAACATAATTTTGCGGAAAGAACTCATTTTTTGATAAAAATGCGAATTTTTCAGCTTAAATTGTGATTAACTCTATAAATTCTCATACAATTTATACTTTGTATAGACCAATCGATTCGTCTTGATGCAAAGAATAAGATTTTATTATATATATTAACTTCAAAAACCAACTTAAAAAAATTTTTTTAGAAAAAAGTCAAAAAAAATTTTTTTTCTGAGAATTTTTTAAAGTCTATCAATCCATTTCGAGATATTTTTATGATAAATATACCTAGTAAATTTTAGCCAAATTCGTTAAAACCTCTTCGAGTTATCGTGTTCACAAAAATCGGGATCCACACACATACATACATCCGGACAATTGTTCAGGGTCTTATATAACATAGTCCCATATAGAAGAAAATTTGTTAAAAGGATTTTTAAAAATTTTGTAAATTAAACGACTACAAAGCTTCCTCACTAGGAAGCAAAAAAAGCTATTGTTGTAAAAATGTTATAAACAATTAGCCAGCATTTATACTGTGTGAGGTATAAGGATATAGTTTTTAACGGTAAAAATTTTGATTAAAAAATTTTTAACGTCAAAAACTCTTCTACTAATTAAACTGATTTTGTTTAAAAAAATTTTTAACGTCAAAAACTATCCTTATACCTCATACAGTATAAATGCAGGCTAATTGTTTATAACATTTTTACAACAATAGCTCTGTTTTTAAAAATTATATAATATATGTTTTTGTAGTGGTTTTTCGCGTAGAATCGAACGGCGCTATAAGTTTTTTTATGAAAATTAATTTTTCTTCATTTGTTTATAACAAATTGTTAAAAAAAAAAAAATTTAACATTCAACGTCAAAAATTATCATTAGACCCCATGCCAGGATCTTAATTAATAGTTACTTTTTTTATATCTGCATTCCTTTGCCTATATAGGTATCAATGGGTTAATGTAAAAAATCTTTTCCTTAAAGCATTTTTTTAAGTTAGTAGAAAATAAATTTGACACAATAACGTTTGACTTTTGATCCATTGAAGACCATCAAAATCAAAAATTAGAAATATAAGCCTGGGTAAAGTGTGAAGGAAAAGATTTTTTACATTAAAAAAGGAAAATAATGTTTATAAAAAAGTTAAAAATATATTGTTAAACTGTTTATAATACATAACAATAATATATACGTATATAATTAATAAGTGTATTAGGGGCGAGCAGTAAAGGTCATATTATCGTCTTTTAAAATACACTGTTATAGGGCACTGCTTAGTTAGCGGAACACACAAAAACTCGTAGCGTAAACTTCTTTTAAAATTTAACCACTTATTAAGGAAGGTTCAAATTTTGAGAAACTAATTTTTCTAGGAAATTCCATGATGTTTCTAACATGTTTTTTTAACAATAAAAAATTATTCTTTAAACAAATCATTGAAAAATTAATTTTTCTTAAATTTCTTTTAATATTATAAAAAATTGACATTTTTTCTATAATTTTGAATAAATGACTTTTTTTGTAGAATCAATAGTTTTCGAAATAAAAATTCTCGAAAAAAGTCATTTTTTCAAATTCCAAATTTTCAAATGTAAATCTTGCAAAAAAATTTTTTTTGCAAAACTGTTTGGCACAGTTATTTAATACCCCAAGTACTACAAAATTACAGAGTTTAAAAAAAATCGGTGATCCACCATTTGCTTTTCCTATGGAACTGCCCAATTCCATTTTTCGATTGGATGTGAAAATCACATTAGATTAAAGGAAAAGATAAAAATAATGAATTTAATTGGAATTATTTAATTTTACCGTGTGATGAGCTCGAAAACGATGCAAAAGACCGGTCTCGAGTTCCAAAGCTAAAACTCCCTTGCAACATTGTCCGTGAAATAGAAGATCGAGTGCGAAATATTCGACGAAATAATTGACACTGTACTTAAGACTTTGTCCGTAAAGTGTATGTAGAACGGAATGTCCTGTGCGGTCTGCCACGGCACAGGTTCGAAAAGCAGGACCTTCTTTGCCGTATTTTAATGTTTGCCCGCCGAAGGCTCTCTGATAAATTTTCCCTTCCTCCGTTCGACTGAATGGACATCCTAAATGTTTGAAAGAGAAAATTTTAATTAAAATTCTAAAAAAGGGAAAATGAACAAATTTACTATAATTTTGTAAATGTTGAATAGAAACAATCCCTATTGTTTATATAGATACCAAAGTTTTCGAGTTCAAAAACGGCCTTTGGTGCTTCACGGGTCAAAAAATGAATGGCATCCTGATCGCCCAGCCAATCTGAACCCTTGACAGTGTCGTACATGTGATAAAGCCAATTGTCCTCATGTTGCGCGCTGATAGCGGCATTTATTCCCCCTTGAGCCGCGACAGTGTGCGATCTTGTTGGAAATAGTTTCGTGATTACAGCCACACGATATCCCTTACTTCCCAAGCCAAAGGCCGCTCTCAATCCTGCTCCACCTGCTCCGACAATCACGCAATCATAACAATGATCCACCGTCGTATACGGCTGAAACATTTTTTATTCAAAATACAATTAAATGTTTATACATTTCATTTATTTCATTTATTTTACATATTTGCTTGCAATGTTTAGTAAAAGTTTAAATTTAAATGTTCAGAAAAAATTTCAAGCTAAACATTTATTTAATTAGGACATTTATGTCGGATCTTAACACAATTTTCACTAAATTATTTCGCATTTGAATATTCCAAACATTGTAAGAAAATATTTAATAAATTGTCAGAAAAGTTACAGTGCTGAGGGAGTAATAATAATTATTATTAGGCATTATTATAAATTTACATTAATCAATTAAAATTTTTAAAAATATGTGACGCGATCTGAAGAAAGGTAGAACCTTCTTAGAAGTAAAAATTTTTAGGTTATGTTTGTAATTTTTTCATTGAAAATAAACAAAGTGGATCAATTTTCAATATAAACCACCGAGTTTTAAGTCTTCAATATATCTAAAATAAATAATAAAAAGTGATTTTAGTTTTAGACAATTAACCAAAACCTTTTAGTTACGCACAGTGGAAATATAAGGTATTCTTATATATAAGGTTTCTTCGGAGAAAGTATGAATAAATAAAAGTAGAAATAAAATTTGTTTAAAATTTGTTAATTATTTAATTCTAATTTAAAAATATTAATTCACTAAAATTACTTTATTCGAATTCACTTTGCATTCCGCTTTGTCTGCGGTTGAGAGATTCACGTGAAGATTTCTCGAAATTGGAATTGTTGTGCGCAAACATGTTTGCTGTAAAATGGAAAATTGTTGGTTATAAAAAATGGTCAACATTTTCAATTACGTAATAAAAATAATTATATTGAAAAATAGATTATAAAATTAATAATCATAATCTCACAAACAAGGCTCTTGAGCGAAATAAATTCTCAAAACTTCTACAAATCCACATTTAGAATTGCTTTTTTTTAAAGTTATTAGTATTATTATATCTTTATATATTTTTTAAATTATTCTCAAAAAAGTAAATTTTTTTTTTGTTGACACTGTCAATAGCTGTCAATTACATTTTTTTCATGACAGAAACGAGAGAACATCGACTAGAATATTTTAAACTTCGCATTATTGACGTCTTAATTTTTTATTTTTCAAATGTTATTAAATATTTATTGGTTTGTAAAATAATATTTTTATTTTAAAGAAATATAGAAAAAACAGCCTTTAATTTACAATATTGATCTAAAATCGTTATAATAAAAAATTAGTACACGGAAAAAACTATAGTAGCTTTCGGAGTAAATTTTGCTGATTGGAAGAACATTTTACTAATGTTTACAACCAAATTTACTTCGAAAATAATAAAAGTTGTTTATCTTTTTTTAAGTAATAATAATAATTGAAACAATAAATAAAAAAGAATATAAATAACAAGTTTTTAAAAATAAAGTTATGTAATAATAGTAAAAAAGAAACTTTTTTGTCTATTTTTCCTATATAATCTTAAAAGAAAATAATATGTATACAAAAATAGAGAAATGTAAAAAAAAATAAAGTGTATGAAAGAAAATGTTTATAAATTTTGAATTATGATCATTGGAGTGAAGTAAAAGTAGACAATATTTATACAAGCATCATTTTATTGCACTTTGCAAAAATACAATATTCAAAAGGTACACAAGACTGTTATCGTTACACAATAACACATATAAATACCTATTTTATATTAGTTCGTTCATTTTTTTTGTATAATTATTTTTTTTCAATATTTCATGTATATGGCAAAGGATTTGCGATTCAAAAAGCAATGATTAGATTTGTTTTTTCTTTTGTTTTCTGATTTTCTTCTTTGGTACAAGGGAAACCGGAGAGTGAAAACAAAACCTCAAATGCCACGTGCTCACTGTACACCTCATGATTTATTAAAAGCAGAACCATAACTAAAATATATTTTAACGCAGTCTAACAGTTGGTTAAAAAATCAAATTAAATATTATAATTAAATAATAATAACGCGATAAAAAACCTTAAAACTATTTTATTTATCACTAAAATTAACAGTAAACTTAACAAATTTTATATGAACAAATAGAATTCTTTTCTAACATATTAATTCTCTTTCTTTTCTTTTAACTTAAAATTACTTTAAAAGTGAACTTGACAAATTCAATAAATTATTCATCTCTTACAAAATAAAATAAATTAATCGGTAAATTTTAGTTTTCAAATGCACGAAAAATATCTAGAAACACTGAGTACTTTTTATAGCAGTGATTACTGTGTGGATTGAAAGATTAAAATTGAAATCTCTGAATGCTCTGAATGCTGTCCGTACTGAAGCTCTCAGTACTTTTTCGAAATTATTAATAAAAAAATAAACATTCTTTTGTTAATTAATTTTGAGAAATCATTATTATTCCTATTTGAAAAGTAATAATATTACTTTCTACACAGTACTGAGTGCTGAGCAAAGAAAGCAATCAGAGATCTGAAATTTAATTTTTTATTCTACACACAGTAATCAGTTCTTCCAGATTTTATCCCTGTGCAAATAAAAATAAATTTTAACAAAATAAAATTTTCAGATTTTAGTTATGGCACTGATCGCTAAATGAAAATAAAGCTAAATGAATGAAAACTTTTGTTCCAGATCAGTCTTGTTATGGTTTCCGATTAAGAATTTCTATGGAAAAAACCGATGACATATTTAAAAATACAAGTTAAAAATCGCAACGTTAATAATTATTTTGTTATCAAAAACATAAGTAGGTAATGATGACGAATCAACAAAAACACATTCGAAGAAACGTAAACATAATTACATCTTTAACTCTAGTTAGAAAATAAAAAAAAGACTGCAAAATACGTTTTTAAAATGTTTCAGTAATATTGCAGAAAAAATCGTTATTTCATTTACCAGTCTCCCACCTTAAATCTAAAAAAAAATTATCATCACTGAAAATCGATTTCTTTGTTCGTTAAAATTTTTCCAATTCTTTAAAACAATTTTTTTCATTAACTTAATAAATTATTTTTAAAACAATTGAAAATTTAAATATCAATCTTTTTTAAATGTTACCTACTTTTAAATTTCAAAATATAATTTTAAATTCAATTCCCTTTTTGTAAAGGAATAAAGTAAAATTAAATTTTAGTTCATAGTAAAAATTTTGAATGGCAAATAAAATTCTATTTTTTTTAGCTAGAACGAAAAAAATCGACTTTGATGAACGTATGACTTTTGTGCTGCTTTATAAAAAATCATTACAAAAAGTTATTACAATATACTATTGAAATACAGAAATTTGCCTTTTGACGAAACTTTTAAAGGCAAACTACAAAATATAAGACCCATCAGTCATTAAATAGTTTAAAATATTTAATAAAACAAACTTCATTATACAAACACATTTATACTGCGGGCAATAACAAAATTAACAATTGTAAAATAAGCAATCACTCTACACTTTGTCAATTTTTCGAAGACGTCTTTAAAAAAATTATCATTAGGTATGTGAATTTTAATATTTTGCATTCAATTCTTTTTCAGAACAATGTGGGTTTTTTTCATTAGGAAAGGAAGAAATTGCTTGTTTTAGAACTACATTTTTTTCAAAGTCAACAATTCTCTCGCATTAATTATTATGAATAATAATTACAATTTATGATTTCAAATTGTAAAATTTGTTACTCGTCAAATTCTAAAGATTAACTGGTAAACTTTGACGTCTTTGAAAGTTGAAAGAAAAAAAGTAAAATTCAATCACAGATTTTTGTTGTTTAAATAAACATTTTTTTCTAGAAATTTTGGAAAAATGTTTCAAACTGAAATATACATTTTTTTAAAAATAATTATAAGACCTTTTGGTATAAAGTTACGTAATTATTTATCGTTAATATGAAATATTAATTTTTTCTGATTTTTGTTTAATTTTCTCGATAGTACTAAATGCTTTTTTTCATTATAAAAATTCTCGAGTTTGTGAGAAAAAAATTGTTTCTTTATCAAAGATATAAAAGTATTTTCTTTTTGTCTTCCTGTAAAACGATTTACAGGGTAAGCCTTTTGATACCACATTCGCAACAAAACTTGGCACTTTCTGGAAATCTAGAGCCACACTCGTGACAGAATTTGGACATTTTGCTCTTGCTGAGAAATCGTGAATCGCCCTCACGATACCGAGCTGGTGGATCTTCATCGAGACGACTCGCCATGTCACTTGAGCTGCGTCCATTGTTGTAATATTTTCGGTTTAAACTGAAGGGAACAAATTAAGAAAGACACTTTAGGCATGCAAGACAATAGATAATACAAACAGACGTAAACAAAATTACAGGACAATAATTACTCAACAAACTAGCAACAAAGTAATTAGAAAAATTGGATGTTTAAAAAATTATAAATTATAACAATAAAAATAATTAAAATTAGAATAAAGTTAAAATACGTTTAAATTTAAAATCTATTTCTCGTTTAAAATGGTTAAAATAAAAGCAAAACAAGAGAAATTTAAAATTCTTGACTTCCTCTTGGGATTTATGTATTAATTTGTACATAACTCACTGGTTTATGGAAAAATAGAAGAGCACTTCAGAAGAAGAAGAAAAACGAGAAAAAAAAGGAATTAAAGGAAGAATCGTATTTCAAGAATATACAGAAATAGAAACCGCTTAACTTTTAGAAATATAGGACTAAAAAGATATTTAATTAGTGAAGACAACAAACACAATTGCGAAATGGAATATCCATTTTTAAGTTAAGAATAAAATTGAACAAAAAAGAAAAGAAAAATACTGAAACTAATTCAATAATAAATTAAAATTCATTGTATTTATACATAACTAAAAATTATCAAATTATTTTCTTTTGATTAGTATTTAGAGAATTGAAAAGAAAAAAATATTTTTTTAATTATATTTACAAGCCTTGAATCGACTTCAAGGGACAAAGAATTGTGGGACATATGTACAGTAGAATTCCAATTATCCGGATCAATTGGGACCAGACCCGATCCGGATAATCGAAATGAGCATAAGATTTATGGGTGATTCTCCACGAAACCGACAATTTCATGTCCCTAGTGTTTTTTAAGAAACAGATTGCACATATGGTAATTAATCCAACGTGAAAAAGTAACTCTGGTGATTACAAACAAAAACCTATAGCCTGTCTCCAGGGTCAGTTACAAAACAAAAATAAATATTTTTAGCAAAATTCTCAAATAAAAATAATGATTGATAACATTTTTTTAATATCTAAGTGTGTAAAATTAAAAAGTAAAATTGGTTGTAAAAAAAATTATTTTTTATATTTCTTTCTGATGTTATTTCTTGTTCCCAGTTTCGTGCGTCATGGTGAAGCCTTTTTAAAAAATTGAAATATTTCAGAAAAATAAAATCAGAATTTCGGTATTCTTTAGTACAAGCAACAATTCAGTTCCCTCAAGTGTTTCACTACAATAGAAAAAAATGTTATACTTTTTTTTCATTTTTTTACGTTTAAAGCGTCAACTTTGTGCAGGGAATCACAAAATCGTCATGGTGAAGCCTTCACATATTTAATAATAAATCAAAAAAAAAAATTTTTTTTAGTAAATAATGTATAGTCGTATTATTTCAGTAAATATAAAAGACAGGAATATGAAACCGATTGAAAATTGCTAATAATTTATTTTAAAAAAACAGTATTTATTTTGCGTCATGGTGAAGCCTTTTTTGTCTTTCATTGAACTTGTGATTTAAACAAGTGTACAATTACAACAATTTTTGTAATTGTTTCCAAATAAAATTATACAAATAAAAGTTACTTTGACTGTCATAATTTTAGTAAGTTTTGACATTAATTACTTTATAAATTTTCATAAATTAACGTACAAATTTCTGAAAGTTACTAAGAATTGATTTTCATTTAAATTATGTTAATAAATTACGATAAATGATTTAAAATAATTTATAAAATTACAACATATATTTCCATAAATTTTCATACATTACCACATAAATTTCCATAAATTACCCTATAAATTTCCATAAATTTCCAAAATTAGTTTTTAAAATTTTCTTTTATTTACTCAAAAAAATTTATTTACCTCAAAAAATTTATAAATTACCGCATAAATTACTATAAACCTGCATTAGTTTTTCTAATCTTGAATTATGTTTTGTAATAATATTATAAATTACCTCACAATTTTTATAAATTACCATAAATTACTGCATATATTTCCTGAATTAGATTTTTAAATCCTGAATTAAACAAAAAACGTTCATATAAGTTCAACTATCAATTTTGTTAGTACAACAAAATTATGGCAACTAATTATGGTACATGGATGCATGAACAGTTACTTTGTTTAAAAAATACAAAAATTACAAACAATTTGTCCGGCCCATAACAGATATTTTATTCTTGACTATCATACTTAAAATTTACATTATGATTTTTATTTTTATTGAAAAAAAATTCTAAAATAACAATAACCAAATTATCGGTTTCATGGAGAATCACCCTTATATATTTTGAGTAATAAGATTTCAATCTGCTATTTAAAACGCTGCTGCAAAAACCATTTAAACATTGACGCCTCAAATTCCTTATTTTGAGAGGTTTTCATAACTTTTCTGGGCGGGTTTCTATTCGTACATTCCAAATCAGAAGCAAATTTCAAAACCGCAGAACTGTTTTTCTTTAAATCGACAATCCGGTTAATCGGACGTCCGGATAATTGGAATCCGGATAATTAGAATTCTACTGTATAATTGAAAATATTGAAAATAATTCAATTTTAAAAATTTAGAATGAAAAAATTCTAAAAATTACTTTTCTCAAAAATAATTTAATATAATTTTTAGAAGATAATTTTCATTAATTTTCATTTTTAAATTTACACTTAGAGAGTTTTTATTTAAATTTTTGAGAATTCAATTATTTTCCAAAGTTGCAATTAAAATTCTTCAAAAGTTGGTTTTCAAGAATTGTAATAAAATACTTGAAAAAAATTAAATTATTTTCAATTCAATTTTACAAAATTTAAATTATTCAAAAATTTTGTAATATTCATTCCTCGATAATTCGAGTTTGTAATGCTGAATTTAACTGTAATTTTTAATAGCTGCTCTGGATACGGTAACAAATAAGTAAGGAATAAAAAAATTTTCTTTTAAAATACATCCTATTATTGTTTATTTATAACTATTGTCAATATATCTACGCTGACTATAAAACATACCAAGAGTATTGTTTTTTGTACCCAGGTAAAAATGATTCGTACGAAATTCGCACGGTAATTCTTTTGACAATTTCTTCAAACATTTTTGGCCAAATTTCCTTACGAATTTCGTATGAAATTCAAGCGAATTACGAACAGATTTATTTTGGAAAATTTTTATAAAATTCTTCTCGGAAATTCGTATGGAATTCCGCACGAAATGTCAGCTAAAAAATTTCTTCAAACATTTTCGGCGAAATTTCCATACGAAATTCGTATGAAATTCGAGCGAATTATAAATGGATTTCTTTTGGAAAATTTTTGCTCGGAAATTCGCATGGAATTCCGCACGAAATGTCAGCTAAAAATTCCTTCAAAAATTTTCGTGCGGAATTCCATACGAATTTCTGAGCAGAATTTTATAAAAATTTTCCAAAATAAATCCGTTCGTAATTCGCTTGAATTTCGTAAGAAATTCGTAAGAAAATTTGGCCGAAAATTTTTGAAGAAATTGTAAAAAGAATTTCCGTGCGAATTTCCATACGGATTTCCGAACAAAAATATTTTTTGAAAATCCATTTTAAAAAATCCGGGTACTATTCGCACGAATATTCGTGCAAAAAAACGTTTCAAACGCCACACGAATTTCACTAGTAATTTCATACCAATCTGGCCGGATGTCTGAACGAAATTCGTATAAATTTCATACGAATCATTTTTACCTGGGTATAATGTAAAGAAAAGTGGAACCATGAAAGTACTTCACTATTATTGTCTACTAAGGATAAATAATGTATTTTAGTATTATTACAACGAACTTTTCATTTGTTTAAACAATTTATTATTGCTAATTTATAACAATTTTAAAAACAAAATGGAGAAAAGCAAATTTCTATATAAATTTGGCTGCTTTTATTGGTATTATTTAATGTTAAATCAATAAATAAAATATAAAATTAAATTTGCTATACTTATTATTTAACATTGTTTAAACAATTAATTGTTGTTATATATTAACTTTTTACCCATTACACATAGAAAGATGCAGTTTTTTCTAATTTTGCAATTTTTGGACCTAGGGTAATGTGGGGTGATGTGAAACATGGGGGGATGTGGAACACCGCCGATTTCTGATCTACAGTTCGATATTGAACAGAGCCAAGTATTGCCATTTGTTTGTGTTCTCATTAGCTTGTTTTTGATATAAAACTCACGAGACAGCTCGCAGCTAGGTTTGCTGTACGAAAGTTGACTTAAATTTCTCGAGAAGGAAATATTTCTCGCGCTTTACGTTTCTAGTCGTTTCGTGAAGGGTTTTAATTTATTTTATAGATAAGAATGTGTTTATTGTTGGTTTTTTAAGTGTTTTTAAATATCTGTTTATATTTTGTGTTTCCATTACATTGTATTGCGTACAAAACATTTTTCGCAAAATATCATATTTGGGGTGATGTGCAACACTTTTTTTTGGGGTGGCCGTAACTACTTTTTACGTGACATAACTGCGATTCACATGATGAATAAAAAATGTTTAGTTATTTTCCTTTAATTTTATTCCTTATTCAGTCATGAATAAATAAAAAATTAAACAAAAAAAATTTTTTTTTCTTTGGTGAAATCTCCATTTTTTAAAGGTCAACTATACTTTAGTAAATTTTTTTTTGGCAGATTTCGATTAGTTTGCATTGAAAATGCCTAAAATTAATAATTAAAGAGATTTTCATCGATATTTATGCATTACATACCTGAATTTTACTGGTGTTGCACATCACCCCAACTTTTTTGGAAAATGCAAAAACAGACGTTTTTGTAAAAGCGAAAAATTTGTAAGAAAAATTTAAAATTCTGAAAATCTAATAACGCAGGAATATTCTATTATAATGCCTCTAAGTCATTCAATTTTGAAGTGTTTAAAAATTTAATTATTTGACATGTTTTTCGTCCAACGAAAAAAAACGTTGCACATCACCCCACATCACCCTACTTATAATAACCGATAATGTTAAATGTAAAATCGCTGTTTTAGAAATTATTTAAACATACAATTGTCATTTATTAAATAGAGATTTGACATGTTATATTTATCGGTTATTATAAGTTAATCCAAAAATTGCAAAATTAGAAAAAGCTGCATCTTTCTAGGTGCAAAAGAAAAAAGTTAATAAATAACAACAATTATTTGTTTAAACAATTTCTAAAATAGCGATTTGACATTTAACATTCATCGGTTTTTATAAGTAGGTCCGAAAATTGCAAAATTATAAAAAACTGCACCTTTTAAGGGGAAATAGAAAAAAAGTTAATAAATAACAACAATTGTTTATTTAAAAAATTTTATGCAGTAGTTGTAAGCAGTTTAACTATGCATTTCTTATCTGAATTATTAATTTAATACTATATGTATAGTAATAAGAAAAGTTAATTGTTTTATAGAGATATGTTGATTCCTTGTTTTATTTGAAAATTATATAAAAATAAGAGCTGTGCAAAATAATTCGAACCAAACTGTTCGAACTAGCCCAGTTCGAATGTCGAATATTCGACATTCGAACTATCCCAGTTCGGATGTCGAATATTCGACATTCGAGTTACTACAAAATTCGAACCGAACCGAGTTTTGTTCGGTTTTGGTACGCTAAAATGTCGAATTCTAAAATTCGACATTTCAGTCGCTCAGTTCGAACGTCGAATATTCGACATTCGAACTAGCCCAGTTCGGATGTCGAATATTCGACATTCGACATTTCGGCGCCCCAAAACCGAACTAAACTCGGTTCGGTTCGAATTTTGCACAGCTCTATATAAAATCAATAATAAATTGTTTAAACAAATGAAAAATTTATTTACCTAACATTAGTAAATTAGATTACTAGGCAACATAAAATTATTATAGTAAAAAATTCCCATGATTTCAAGGTTTTTTTAATATGCAAATAAAAAATCATTGCAGGGTAAAAAATGCCCTGCCTTAAGCTCGGTGTCACAAAGATGAGCTGGTTAAAACCAAAATGAATGTTTTCAAACGAAAAGAAAATTTAGCTTCAAAATTTAATTTCCAGAAAGCTTCGTTCGAATTTTGTTCTCTTAAAAAATATAATGCAAAGTATCTCACCTGCTGTAAGCAGAATCCGCACTAAGTTTACCGTGATCCTGCCTCTTGAAACTATCGATCGAGGACAATTCATCATCGCTGATTTGACCATTTCGTTTGACATTGCTCTGGATCGGACTAGACATGGATAAAGGATCACTTTTAAGAAAGGACTTTAAGGATGGAAGTATCGTTGAATTGTCCTCCTCAAAGGAGCTCATCAATTCATCAAACATTGAATTCGAACGTTTCATATCGATATCAGATGAAACACACGAATTTAAACTCAAATTACTTCCATTCAATGTACTCGTATAACTACTACTTCTATTTTTACTAATATCATTAAAATTATTCTTATTATTATTACTCCTGTCAGCGTAATTTAAATTGGAATTTTTCGAATATTTAAAATTATTTTTCAAACTATCCGACGATGACGAGGAGGAATTTTTGCGCTCGGGAATTTTTTGCGCCGACACTGAACGAACCGAGTGTGATCTATTCACCATGGGACGTACAATTTTTTGTGTTGAAATTTTGTCGAGTATTTTTCGCGTCTTATCAATGGAAGAAGACAAGGAATCATCAATTCCAAGGGCTTTCGATTTGTCGATAATGACTCTGCGACTTAGGATGTGTTCGGGATTTTGTGTTTTCTCTTTAATAGTCGAATTACTAATTATTTTATCGTTAACAAAGTGCTCGGAATTTGTTTCGGTGCAGTCACTTGATAATTCCGAGGTGAGATCATCGAATTCGGTGGGTGGCGCTAATACGGAACCGCGTTTCTTCGAGGACTCGAGAATGGCAGAATTGGTTAATGACTGAGAGGGATATGTTACAAATGCGGACGAATGTGTGAGAGGAAATACAGAGGAATTTTTATGATTTGACTGTCCGTCTGTTGAAAATTGATCGCTCGTGTCTGATAAGAGGTCCTGCATTTGTTGCTCGGCCATGAGAAAAGGATCGTACGTTTTATTACCGCAGCTGGAAACAAAAATATACATGTCATTCTTTTCAAAGTCAACTTCAAAGAAAAACCTTTTTTAAAAACTCACTGATATTGTCGCCAATTAAAATAACATACAATTTTATAAACAATATTAAGAATTCATTGAAAAAAAGATCTTTTAGATCAAATTCGTTTGATAACAAAATTTTCCAATTTTTGGGCTCTTCCTTTTTGCTTTGAAGAAATATTAGTACACTGCAAGCCCGATCAGCGGTCAGCTCCGGGGGTGCTCGACCGCTGATCGGGCGTAAACATATAGGACCGTACGAACTGTTTTATGATGGGGTACCATTACTTGACTACTGAATTTTTTTTTAAGAGGCCAAAGCGTCTTTAATGTATACGCTACTGCCACAACTTTTCGACTCCCTCATGGCCCCTCGCCCGCTCCATCTACAAACGACGTAAACAAGCGACCACTGATCGGGTGACCGCTGATCGGGCTTGCAGTGTATGACTGAAAAGTTGCCGATTTGTTAAATTAGCTATATTTCAAATTTGTTTAATACAAAGAATTAAAATATTTAAGTTTTCAATAAAAAATATCGGAATTTAGGAAATTTGAAAAACTGGAATAACTGATAGTAAAAGAATAAAAAAATTTGAATAATTTAGGTTATTTATTTAAATGAAGTTAAATGAATTTAAATTCTTGTGACTAAAAGATTTAAAACCTCTTTGTTACAAAGAATTGAATATTTATAAATTATATGAATTGAAAGGCCGTAGCAGTATAAGCATGTAAAAAGTGCCCCCTCTTGGATTGGGTCCATATTTACACACTAAAAAAAAAAGTTTTACTTTCAGCCTATTTTTGAGGCTGAATTTAAGGTGTAAACGGAGTCAGCCCCGTTAAACAAGGACAGACTTATGTGAAATACATGGGCTGAATTTAAGGTGTAAACGGAGTCAGACTTTTTTTTTCCTGTGTAGGGAATAATTTTGACCTATTATGAGACTTATTTTCACCAAGTTTCAACTCGAAAAAAAATTTTGTTTTTGAGTTATACAATTTTTTTGAAAAATTCAAAAAAATTCAAAAATTTTTTTTCCCTCCAAAATGGTTGCGGCAGGTATCCGGCATACGTACCGGGCCGGTACCGAATAATCCACCGGGGCGGTACTGGCCCGGTTATTGTTGGAAGGCATTTAGTGCCGGTTTATTACCGGCTGCACAACCGGCTAGGTACTGGTCCAGTACCGGCATAAGTGTGTTAATTAATTTTTAATGTAATTTTAAAACATGTTGGCCCCTCGTTTATATAGAAAACTGTACTATTTAGGGGCCAAAAATCGGTTTTTTATTTTTTAAAGTATGAAGTACCCTTTCAATCATCTTGCAAAAAATATATGTTACTCTTGAAATGACTATTATTTTATAGAAAAAAAATGGCGCTGGTGCAAAAAAAATTTCAATAAAAAAAAATGTTTTTTAAAAAAAAATTAAAAAAAAATTTTTTTTTACTGACTTTTTACTGACTTTCTTTGTTAGAATTTGGTCGAAAATTTTTTTTTATTAACTGTTCATATTGTATTGTACAAAAAAAATTTTTTCATGAAAATCGGTTCAACCATTTTGGAGGGAAAAAAAATTTTTGAATTTTTTTGAATTTTTCAAAAAAATTGTATAACTCAAAAACAAAATTTTTTTTTCGAGTTGAAACTTGGTGAAAATAAGTCTCATAATAGGTCAAAATTATTCCCTAAATATGGACCCAATCCAAGAGGGGGCACTTTTTACATGCTTATACTGCTACGGCCTTTGTAAGAATTTAAAATATTTTCTTTTAAGTACTTTTTGCAATTAAAAGTCTAAATTTTTATAAATGAAAATCTTGTGCTTGCCAATTTAATTTTCAAGTTTGTTAATTAGACAAGAGAAATAACAGTTAAAAGAAATATAATTCTTTTCATTCTTGCATTCTCACGAATGCAAATATTTGTGTGAACGAGTAATTGTGTTGCATGCCTCATAATTTAAAAACAGGTGCAACAAAGACAAAACAAATTCATAATTATATACAATATAAAAATAATAATTGTTGCTATTGTGAATTGAATAAGTATTTGTAACACTTGGTGCATTTTCAAAGACGACATTCAAAACAAATGTCGATATAGGAACATTCAACGCGACTTTGAACTTACGTTCTACCCTTAAGAACCATAAAAAAATCCGGATGCTTCCGGACATAATTGTTCCAAGCAGGACGATCCGGAAGAATGCACCTATAAAGGATTCTTTTAAATCAAACGTTTCTAAACATTTTTTTTCTAAAACGTTTGATGATCATTATGGAAAAAGGCTTAAGTACTAATAGTTGTAAGGACAAAATTTCAAGTACAATAAATTATTTTCTAATATAGATTTCAAAAAGTTTTGAGTTACTTCCAAAATTTTTCAAATTATTAAATATCTTTTAATTTAATTTAAACATTAACATTTTTTAATATTTTCAATCAAGTTGTAATAGATTTTAATTTTTTTAATTTACAATTGATTTTCAATTCTTTATATAAATAAATTTTCAATTAAGAAAAATTATTTCTCCAAAAATATTTTCAAAATTTTGCACAATTTTAAAATATTGTAAGCAGAATCCGAATAACTTTAAACCTGAATTATGACAAAAATAAAAAATACAATTAGTTTTTAATTTAAACATTCACTGAGAAAAAAGAGGGCGCGTTACAGCACATTTTCGATTCATGTTGCGCGACTCAACCCTGAATTCTTCTACACACTTTCTGGGGCGTGCAGCACGCCCCAAAGAGCGTGTAATACGCTTCAAATACAGCTCGCCTCGACTCAGGGGTCCGCTGCACGCCCCAGAAAAGTGTCTAGCAGAACACAGGGTTGAGTCGCGCAACATGAATCGAAAATGTGCTGCAACGCGCCCTCTTTTTTCTCAGTGAATTGTAATTAACAATATTTTGTCCTCAATTTTGGAAACAACTTCTTCATTATAAATTTGAAAAGAAATCTACTAAATTGAACTACCTCGATTTTTCGGCAACAATAGGCAAATTGTAATGTCCAGGATTTCTTTTCTCAATTTTTCTTTCTCTAAAATCTTCAATTTTCCCCGATTCTATTAATCGATGAAGAGGAATTCTCGAAATTCGCTTCCAAAATGATTTCTCGTGAAAATTTATTTTCTTTGTATTATTTGGCAAATTTATGGAATTCTCTAAAATTGGAAGCAAAGTATATTTTTCACCGTCCTTCCTAGGTTTCTGAATTTCTTCAATAATATAAGTTTCATTAATACAATAATCAGAATTGAAATTTCTTTCATTTTCCTCTAAGGACGATATTAATGAATCTGTACTACTTTGTAGAAGGTCGATATTACATTGTATTTTTCTTTCAATTTTTGATAATCTACAATCATCTTTCCTATTATCAACCAAATTTCTTTCTTTTATTGAGTAAAAGTCATTTGATTTCGTTTCTTTATGATTCTTCTTTTTCAATTTCAAAAATTGATCGTAAAATTGAATATTACTTGTTGAAATTTGAAAAGGAATTTCTGATTTAAATAGTATTTTGAGTCTCTTATCAGAATGTTTTTTCGTGAAATTCTTCTTTTTTCGATGCGTTCGAATTCCTTCGATTCCTAAATTTTCCAGCGTTTGATTTTTATCATCATTTGATTCTTGTTGTTTAATTTTTTCAATCAACTTTCCTTCAAGTGGGGAATTTTCTAACTTTACATATTGAAATTCTTTTCTTTCTGTTTCACTGTCATCGTTTATTCTGAGATTTTTCGTTCTCATTATTATACTTTCAACACTTTCGTTTGCTCTCAATTTGTCAGTGAACTGAAAATTATTTTCAATTTCATTTTCTAATTTATTCACTGTTTGTTTTAATTCAATTGCGAGTTTATTAATTTCGGGATTAGTCTCATTTGGAAAAAAATTATTTTCTTCTATATTCTCATAATTTTCGATTATTTTCCTTTTTGTCATGGGTTCAATAAAATCTTTAACGAATTGATATTTTGTTTTTATAGGGAATTCAAAATTATTATTATTTTCTTGAAGTGAATTTTTCTCTTCTTCTAGAAAATTCTTCTCAACTTCTAAATTTGTCTCTTCTAAATCTTTGTTTTCTATTTGAAATTCCTTGGAAAAATCATTTTCTATTTTCAGCTCTTCTAAAACACTTGTCGTTAATTCTGTTTGATTTTCTCCAAATGATTGCAGAATTTCATTCTCAGAAATAGAATTACTATTTGTAAATTTCGTAGGACTTGCTAATGATATTGTTCGTGAGGTATCTAAAAATTCCGAATCACTTGTTTCAAATGGCATACTTTCTTCAGAAATATTTCCATTATTAATGAGAAAACTATTATCAATTATCACATCATCATCAACATCATTGAAAAAATTTTTGGCCAAAGTTTTATCTATATTGTTAGAAATCAAATAAGTTTGATCTAATTTTCGTACATGATTCATCCACAAGGGAATTTCAATTTCTTCGGACGATGAAATTTTATTGGCAGAATTATTTCCCTTTACATTTTTTACTGTTGATAAATTTAATTTCAATGCATTATTAACATCATTATCGCGAGACAATTGCTTCCATGTGATTTGATTTTTTCGTAGTGAACAAGATTCAACTTTTAAACCAAATTCATTGTTATTTAATTTTAAATTTTCATTGTTACGGTAATTTTTTGTTGAAAGTGAATAGAATTTTTCCGATTTTCTTAAATTTAGATTTGATCGATGGCATGTGAGATTTCTTGTTGCAAATTTCGTTAGATAATTGTCCTTCGATTTTGTGTATTTTCGATGATCTTTCTGTGACATAATTTGAATTGTTGGAGAGAAAAGGAGAGCGGTTTGAGGTCTTGAAGGATCAGGAAGGAGATCTGCAACTGGTCTAAGGAGAAGGAAATAAGATTTAAGGATTGCTGCCTGATGAACATCAGGAGAAGGTTTTAAAAAGCATGTTTTTAATCGATAATTCATTTTAAAAAATTGCAATCTTTTCCCTTTTCCTCATGAGCATCGTAAATCTATTGTCTAATCATTTACAATAATAAGTCTCTACTGTTGAATTTTGTGATAAAAAATTTGCCTTAAACTACTTGCAAGAAGAGGAAAATGAAAATTATTTTTCTCACCTATTAGCTCGATCTACAGGTCTCGATTTTAGAGGTCCGGTTGGAATAGAGATATTACTTTGATTTTGCTTCCGTCTAAAAAATAAATTTCAAGAGAATTATAATTCAACTTTTTGTTAAATTTTTTTTTTACTATAAATACAAAATTTTTTACTTTAATTCTTTACAGTGAAAATAAAATATTAAAATATTGTGAATTTACTTTAGTTTCTTTCAAGTAAATAAACGATTTTAAATTCTTTAAAAAGAATTTTATTTAAAATTAATAAAAAATTCACAAAGAAAACAAAACATACTACACTATTAGAAGTTCAGCTACATTGAAATTGAAAGAAAATGAAATATTAATTTACAAGGATTAAATTTTGTTTTAACAGAAAAAGTTAATAATTTAATTTAATTTATTAACTATTAATTAACTAATAATTTCCCTAATTACTTTATAAATATAATATAAATTAATTTATTAATAGGTAATTTAATCATTGAAAAATTGAATTTAACAATAATAAAATATCATGTAAAATCATTAAATTCTTAGAATTTTAATCGTTCTTAAAAGATGGAGTAGAACGGGTGAAAAAGCCAAGGTGATTCTAGTTAATGTGGATGTTGTACCTATAGTAATAGGGTAGAGTGGGGTAAAAAAGCCACATTTTTACTTTTGATGTTGTAAAATCTGTATTTAAAATTTTTTTCTCAAATTTCCAATTGTTATTGAAAGTTTAGTTATTAAGCTTGAAAATTCTTGACGGAAATATTTTTTATCTCATGAAAGGACTAAGTTATAAGAGTTTTACGAAAGCACTGTAAGTGGCTTTTTTGCACCACCTGGTGGGGTGAAAAAGCCACCCTACGATTTTAGCAAAACATGTTATCAATTTAGGTATTTTTATAGTTTCCCTTTATTTATATGACAAATAGTCTTATTTGAAAAATATTCTAATAATTATGAAAGAGTTTTTAGCAAGCAAAATTGAAAATTATATTAAGGTTACCTGTTTTCCATTTGCACTGCCAATTTTTCGTATACCTTTTTTAGAAGTTCTCTTTAAGTTTTACCACAGATAACATATTTCGTTGCAACCGTTTATTCATTGTTTATTTTTTAAATGCACTTTGAACTACTTTTTCGTCGTGTTTAATTTATTTTATTAAATAAACACGAGACATTTTGTAAAATAAGAAGGTTAGTTTAAATAGAAAACAAGTGAATTTCACAAAATATTCAATGGATTTTTTGCCCTGGCTTTTTTACACCCAAGACCAGTTATTAAAAAAAGCAAAAATAAATTGTTAATTCAGTTCAATTTCCAAAAATTAACATTGTATACGTTTTCGGTATACTTTTCTCCTTATGTACAAACATTTACTTTTATTATTCGTTCACTTAATCAAATTGTAATATGTTTGAAAAGTTCACCAAAATCTTTTCAAAAAAGCAACAAAAAATTAAAATTACAATAAAAACAATATTAATCTAGGTACAACATTCAAATTAGATTCAAAAGTTGCGTATTACCTAATAGTATTTATATTCTAAACAGCTGATAAATCGGCTTAATAGTTTTTAAATAAAACTCAAATGGCTTTTTTACACCATGGCTTTTTTACTCCACTCTACCCTATAGTTTTTATTGTAATTTTAATTTTTGAGTTGCTCTGCGTACAATATTTCGATGAACTTTTCGAACATACACTACCGGCGAAAATTGTGCGACCGCTAACATCTCGAGCTATTAAAAAACACACCCGCACAAAAACAGTAATAACTCCGTCAAAAATAAAGCTAGATGCTTTTTTTAAATTGCATTGAAAAGCTTATTAAATTTCCAATGAAATGCCACTATTTTAAGTTGTATTGCATAAATAGGAAGCGAGATATCATGTTATGAAGACAAACAAATAATTATATTATATTATATTATATTATTTTTTCGAAATTTCTTACCCTGACTTTGACTCCTGGCAAAATTTGGAAAAGTTGATGGGAAAAATTGTTACTTTTACAGACTTTTACAGAGTTATTCCTTGTAATCTAAGCTTTAAATAGAGACCAAGAACAGCAAAAAATATTAACGGGTTCCCGAGATATTACAAAAACAGTTGTACCGTCCGAAGCGAAATTTTCAACCATCGACTTCTCTAATTCGCCGTTGAGTCAATTGCGTGGTTGTGAAAGTCAGGGTCGAAAATGAATTTTACTAAGTAGACTCTTGCTGGGACGACTCTTACTGGTACGACTGTTTTTGTAATATCTCGGGAACCCGTTAATATTTTTTGCTGTTTTTGGTCTCTATTTAAAGCTTAGATTACAAGGAATAAGTCTATAAAAGTCTGTAAAAGTAACAATTTTTTTCATCAACTTTTCTAAATTTTGCCAGAAGTCAAAGTCAGGGTAAGAAATTCCGAAAAAAATATAATTATTTTTTTGTCTTCATAACATGATATCTCGCTTCCTATTTATGCAATACAACTTAAAATAGTGGCATTTCATTGGAAATTTAATAAGCTCTTCAATGCAATTTAAAAAAGGCTCTAGCTTCATTTTTGACAAAGTTATCAGTGTTTTTGTGCGGGTGTATTTTTTAATAGGTCGAGGTGTTAGCGGTCGTACAATTTCCGCCGATAGTGTATTACAACCTGTTTAAGCTTTAAGTGAACGGGTAATAAAAGTAAATGTTTGTATTCTCTAAATCTACATCAGTGAAATTTAACTGAGAATCAGTGATTCTATTCTCGCGATTTGAATCAGTGGAATTTCACTGAAAATCAGTTAAAAATAACTGAAATTACATTCTCATCACATGAGAAAGTATTAGTTTTGGTTGTAATTTGACTTTCGCTAATTTCATGAAATCTCGATGTTTTGGGGTATCGAATCCGAAAAACATGTGGTCTAGAAAAAGTGTCTGTCTTCGTGTCTGTCTTTACACAATGGTGTCATGTCGCCACGATACTTTTAAAATCCTTTTTTGTATCAACTTCCAACTTTGCATGTACAAAGTTACTGTTAAAATACAGATCGAGTTCGTTAGCCAGCCATTTTCGTCGAAAACTACAAAAACTACAGTACTTTCAAAATTTTGAAAATACAATTTTTTCAAATTTCAAAAGTTTTATAACTTTATATTACTTTAGATTAGGAAAATACAAACAACTTTCCTCCATAATATTTTTTCATACTCTCTAAATTTGAATCAGCGAAAAGTCGCTGATTCACCAGCCCAGAGTATGCAGCTGATGAAATAGCGTATATACACTGATAAAACAGCGTATATGCACTGATTTTCCAGCGTATATACGCTGTTTCATCAGCTGCATACTCTGGGCTGGTGAATCAGCGACTTTTCGCTGATTCAAATTTAGAGAGTAGAAAGTCAAATTTCGTTTTTTTAACCATTTGAGGACCAAATTTTTTCTTAAAAAATCGCGATTTTTCATTTTTAAGCAAACTTTTCAGGGAAAGTTATTGAAGTTCTTTACTTAAAGAACAGTGTAATAATAATAATAATAATAATAATAATAATAATAATAATAATAATAATAATAATAATAATAATAATAATAATAATAATAATAATAATAATAATAATAATAATAATAATAATAATAATAATAATAATAATAATAATAATAATAATAATAATAATAATAATAATAATAATAATAATAATAATAATAATAATAATAATAATAATAATAATAATAATAATACTTTAATTTAAGATGTTTAATGTACTTTTAGATTTTAGAACAATAAATTACGTGTTTTATTATGTAGCTTATTAATGTAATATTATTCTTTTTAATTTTTTTTCATGTATACCCTTTTCGGGTAGTTTTTTAAAAATAAATAAAAGTAATAAAGAAATAAATACTTATTAGTTCATTAAGCTCTTTATATAAAGCACCTAAAAACTAAGGTTATTTTTCAATTTTGCAAATAATTAAGGTGGGCAAAAAAGCATGAAGATATTGTATGATTTTATCAATTTCAACAACAGTTTAATCTTGATACTAGTATTTTAAAAATATTGTAGCTTCTTCAGCAAATCATGTTTCTGCGAAGAAAGTTAGTAATTGAAAATAATTTCACATTTCTCATCAGCAAGACTAAAAATTTACATTTAAGTCCACTTAATCTCGCAATCATCAGCAAACAAAATATGTGATGAGAATGTAATCCTTAAAGTCATAGTAACTGATTCTCAGTCAAATTTCACTGATTCAGTTTTAGAGAGTACATATAAGGAGAAAACTATATCAAAACGTATACAACATAATATCCAATTTTTCTTGTTAAAAGCTTTTTAAAATTTATTAAAATATTTTAAACATAAGATTATTTGTCACATAAATAAAGGAAAACTAAAAATACCATAATTAATAACATATTTTGCTAAAATCGCGAGGAGGCTTTTTACCCCCACCAGGTGATACAAAAAAGCCACTTGCAGTGCTTTCGTAAAACTCTTATAACTTAGTCCTTTCATGGAATAAAAAATATTTCTGTTAAGAATATTCAAGCTTACACGGAAAAAAAAAGTTCACGAATCTCTCGTGAACTAGTATATCACTTTTGGATGGGACACAAAATTTCAAAATTTTCATTCACTTTTGATTAGAAATGGCGAACGTCAACGAAAAACTGAAACAAAGTTAATGAATTTTTGATGAACTGTTAATGAAGAGTAGTTCGTCAAAAGTAGAGGTACAAGTTCACGAAAAAATCGTGAACTCGCGAGTGTCAGTAGTATGCGCAGTTCGTAATGCGCATCAAATATGGCTGATCAAGCATTCATCATTCAGTCGGTGTCATCGGTGTTTACATTCGGGAAAATTCTTTGATGAAAGTTATTATTTAGAATCAGTGTTTTTTATTACTTAGTGAATATTTTTGTTTGCTAATTTCCTTTGTGAAACAAATAATTCATAAAATGAATTAAAAGTTACGATAAGGGACTTTTTCTACTTTGCACGGTCCTGAGTTTTACAGCAGACAAAGCTAATCGTTTCGTTTGTCGAAGGACAGTGTATCTAGATTTAGCCGTGGCGGTTAGTTGTTAGAAATATTATGTTATAGGGTATAGGTACTAGGTTCGAATCTCGTGAAGCGAATTACGAATTTTAATGGCGATAAAATTGTGTATTCTTTGTAGTTGGGTGCGTAATAGGCGTCAAGTTATCAAATAAAGTGAAATACTATAAAAAAGTAGTGTCTGGAAATTATTTTTTCTTGTTTTTAGCATTTTTTAAAAGTTCACGAATTTTTCGTTAACTTTGACGAAAAGTTCGGAAACAGTACTATGTTTCTAGTGAAGGAGTTGATGAAATTTTGACGAACTGTGTTTGTTGATTTTCAAGAATTTTGTGTCCCATCCAAAAGTGATATACTAGTTCACGAGAGATTCGTGAACTTTTTTTTTCCGTGTAATAACTAAACTTTCAATGCCAATTAGAAATTTGAGAAAAAGATTTTAAATTCAGATTTTATAGCGTCAAATGTAAAAATGTGGCTTTTTCACCCCGTTCTACTCTATTATTATTATTATTATTGATAAATTAATATAATTATTATGTAAATAATTTTAAAAAATTAGAATATTTGAGATACACTGCAAGCCCGATCAGCGGTCACCCGATCAGTGGTCGCTTGTTTACGTCGTTTGTAGATGGAGCGGGCGAGGGGCCATGAGGGAGTCGAAAAGTTGTGGCAGTAGCGTATACATTAAAGACGCTTTGGCCTCTTAAAAAAAAATTCAGTAGTCAAGTAATGGTACCCCATCATAAAACAGTTCGTACGGTCCTATATGTTTACGCCCGATCAGCGGTCGAGCACCCCCGGAGCTGACCGCTGATCGGGCTTGCAGTGTATTTGAGAAAATTAGAATATTCTATTTATAAAAAAAAGTTAGAAAAATGATGAAAAAATGGAAGATGGAAAAATCCATATTTATTGAATTTTAAAGATTTTGACATTCTGATTGAAATTTCTTAATTTATTAGACCGACAGGGGAAAATTATGGGTAATATTATGGAACATCAGAGGTAAATATGAAACGCGACAATCTTTTTTTTTGGTAAAATTTTTGTAGTAAATTGTTGCAATTTGGTTCTTGTTTTAAATAATAGGGGAGGATGGGGCAAGGATAGTTAGTGGCTGTATTGCTTAAACGGCTTGTTCAAATTAGCGCGTCATTCATGATATTTTCGCGTCTTAACACCAAAAGATGATAGTAAAAATTGGAAGTCAATCTGCCACCATTTGCGAAGTTAGGAATTTATTTTTAAAAAACATCTGTTTTTGAAAAATGTCAACGGAATCTTTGTCTTGTTTTATCATATTGTTTTCTTTATTAGTGCTTCTGAATATTTATTTACGTAAGTGCTTTCCGGAGTGGAATTTCCTGCTGAACACGAATATCGTATTTATTTTCAATTAAATTCACGTCGTTTCACAAAAAATTAGGAAAAATTGACATATGGGCTCCTTTTCCCCCCACGGGGCAAGCATAGTTAGAGCTAATATGGCACGGTACAATCCTGCTAATGCGACTGTAAATTATAAAAAAATGTTTAATTGAGCCCGCGCGTGCAATAACAGCAAGTGCGCGTGGTCGAAAGGGATAATACGAGTCAGGTAGCAGTGAGCGCCTCTGGGTTTCTCACTGCTACCTGATGCTGGTTCCACATATACCAAACGCACGCGTATCGCGTAGACGCTTAAAGTAGAGTCTACATTCCATGGTACGCGAACGTGAACGTGTACGCGAACGTCTGACGTCACCCATGCTATTCAAATGGGTGACGTCAGCACGGCAACGTTCGCGTTCATCCAATGTAGACTCTACTTAAGGCTTGCGTATGCGTAAAGTAGAGAACACATTCCATGGTACGCGAACGTGAACGTGTACGCGAACGTATGACGTCACCCATGCTATTCAAGTCGGTTCTACAATGGGCACGTCGGACGTGGTCGTCTGACGTGCCGTGCTGACGTCACCCATGCTATTCAGTAGAGTCTACATTGGATGAACGCGAACGTTGCCGTGCTGACGTCACCCATTTGAATAGCATGGGTGACGTCATACGTTCGCGTACACGTTCACGTTCGCGTACCATGGAATGTGTTCTCTACTTTCAAATGGGTGACGTCAGCACGGTACGTCAGACGTCCACGTCCGACGTGCCCATTGTAGAACCGACTTTATAGTAGTATACTATACGCATACGCAAGCCTTACGCGTCTACGCGATACGCGTGCGTTTGGTATATGTGGAACCAGCATGACTGATATTATCCCTTTCGACCGCGCGCACTTGCTGTTATTGTACGCGCGGGCTCAATTGTTCTTTTTAGGCTGATATACATAATAGTGCGTAATTATATAAGGAAAACAAAGCTTATTGACCAAAAAATTGGTAGATGTCTGAAGAAAATTGGTTAAAACTGAGATTCAAGTTCAGAAGAATTTTAATGCAATAATTAAAATTCAGAACATGTTCAAAACATATATTGTTAATACTTCAGATATCAATATTGAATAGTCTAAATCGAATAAAATAAGGAGAACGAAAATCTACTGATTTTTTATAACATTCGGATTCTTTAACTATCGTTGCCCCGGTGCTGGGGCAAGGATAGTTAAAAATTTTTGTTTACTTTTTCATTCGTATCTCGTAGGGATTTGAGTCTACAGTAAAATAATGTATAGCAAAATTATAGCCAAATAACCAGGATTTCCAAAAATACTTTTCGTTTGCAGGTACATATTGAGTTTTCTGCTGTAATCGTAGTGTGTACGAGGGTTTTGACCGTTCCCAAGTACAGTTCTCAAGTATCAATTTAAGTGAGGATTTACCTCACAATGTCTATAGTTCTCTTATTTTGACTTATTTGTATTTTTAAAGTGTCTAACTTCAAGTATTCGGAGGGAATGATTCTAAACTGACTTTTTTTTAACTTAAACTCATATTTGCAATAGTATAAATATTTAATTCACATCTTTACCTCCCAACACGTGTTCATCAACCGCCATAGATTTATATATATAGTTTACCGAATTGCGTTTGACGCCATTTTTTGTTCACATTAATCAATTTCATGGACACTTTTGATTCTTAATTCTTCTAAGTGTTTGTTCTGACAGTTGGCTAAGCCTCAAGTCATTTAAGAAGAAGGTAAATATTCAAGTTTGGCCGCTAGATCCGAAAAGGTCTTACCTAACTATCCTTGCCCCATCCTCCCCTACTTTTGTCTACAAAGTATCTGGAATATTTTTAGTTTTATTGACACTAGAAACAAGCAAAAAATTGTTAAACTTGAAAAAAGTGAGAAGTTTATTTTAAAAAAGTCCAGAAATCCATGAATTTCTGTGAATTTAATAAATGTTATTAAAAGATCCCAATTAAATAAAGTACATAATTATGACTTTATTTAATTAGGAGAATATTAGCATAACTTGGCCTAATAAGAAATGACAATTATTAATATTTACTCATTTTTGTTTTTTGTTCTATAATTTCCCTAGTTGACGGTACTTATTTCGACAATCAGGTATTGACAGAATCAAATTAAAAAATCGATTATGAAAGAAAATTTAAAATAAGTGACTAATCAGAAGTTAGTCGCAAAAAACAAATAAAAATGGGCGAATTTGGACATAAATCATTTTTGAGGAAAATAATTTTTGAATTTGATTCTCTAACAAATAGTCGAAAATGTTGTGTTCTCGTAAAATTTGTCTTTAACACTAAGAACAGGAATAAAACGTAATTTGTCTGCTGTTATTTCTTCTTTTTGAAAGGAGCAGATAAATAAACTAAGGGAAAAATAATTCATTTAAAAGTTGGCAACATGCCAGAATGGTTACTCACGAAGTTAGCTTCTGTTTTGATGGAGTTTCGTTGCTCTTATTGCAATTGGGAAGTGACACGCTTTCCCTGGTCTTGATTGTATGTACTGATGAGACTTTGGCAGTGTTGTAGCCCAAATTAGAGATGGAACCGGGCATGTATTTTTCGCGCACTGTCGGTCTTCGGTTTTTTAATGCTGGCGCTCGATACCTTATTCGCGCTTCTAGTCGCTCCTTGGCAACGTTGGTGGCAGGACTCACAGGAAGCCGAGTTGATCGCTCCTTGCACCATGCCACGTGACGCTCGTAAGCCTTGATACCAAATTGGCGATAACAAGTGGGACATATTCCCTTTTCATTGGCTCTGGTTGGGGCACCGGAAGTAATTTGATTCGTCGATTGTCTCGTTATAACCTCCGTCTAAAAAAGAATTCATTTTTGAGACTATCTTCCTTAAAACTGCATTGAGACCTTGATTACCCAACATCAGGAGGTGGAAATTAATAAGTGCTGGGGAATTTGAATTTACGTTAGAGAATTTTTATTAAAAGCAAGGTAAATACAATTAAAACATTCGGATAGGTACTCCAACGTTTCGAATTCTAAATGATTTCATCTCTGAGGAGTCTATCAAAAAATATACAAAATTTAAAAATTAAAATAGGTCCCGACCAAAGAACCGGATATAATATTTTTGAGTTAAAAATCATTGTCCTATTAATAAAAAATTCTAAATCCTTTTTTTATTTAGAGATCGGGAGTTTTGAGGCTTAAAAAATTATAACCGGTTCATTGATCGGGACCCTCAATTTTACAAAACAAAATACAAAAGATATAAAATAGAAATAATTATCTTATCAGAAATTATACGAAGATATTAATTAATTAATATTAATATTTGAAATTAGGATTACAATAAATTAATAAGTAGCATGGAAATTATTAGATAACGAAAGTAATAATACAGACTACTTAATATAAAAATAATAAAAATTTATAAACAATGAAAATAAATAAACCAAATAATAACAAATAAGGAAAAATTATAAGTAACATACTTTACAAAATAATCTGTTTTTTGAATAAAAATAACGTTGGAGATAACATATGTATTAAATAATGATTGTCAGAATGTTTTTGTTTTATTTATCTTACTTTTATAATAAATTTATAAAATTCTGTGAATGTCAATACGTGAGTTTTGATTATTATACAGTGAAACCTTAGTGATCCTGTAAGTTATAGTAAAAACTGAAAACTTTTTAAAAAGGGAAAAAATCCTTTTATTCGTTTAATCCAGGTTTGACTGCACTAAAATAAAAAATAAAGAGATTAGTAATTTTCCATTGCAAACATTTGTTGAGAAATTGCAAAATGAATGGTAAAAGCGTAAAAGGAAGGTAAAAACTTACGGGTTCGCCGCGCGCTGCTCTGATCGTACGAAGAAATTCGTCGTGCGTTAGTTTCCATGATGATTTTGTTCGTGGAATTCTTTCGTCCTGATAAGATCGCTTATTTTCTTGCTTCGGAAGAAATTCTTCAAGTTCGGTGCCCTGAATTCTCTGCTTGGCAGAATCGAAGGGCTTTCTCTTTTTAATGGACGATTTCTCGCAGATCTTGGCATGCTTCTCCAACGATTTCGGAGCAAAGGTCCGTGCACAAATTGCGCACGGCAGGAGAATTGACGGCACATCTGTGTCCATTTACCAAACAATTAGTAACACTATTCACTAATAAACATTTTCTTATTTATTCTTTTATAACAAAATTCTCAAAGTTTATTAATTAAATAATTAATTTTCAAAACAAACTCTTTAAAATTTAAACAAATTGTTTTTATCGAAAAATATAAATTTTGCACTTAGAACAAAAAAGAAATTGCACTATCACGACAGAGCGACAAGAAAAAAGGGTGTACAAATTTTTTCATAAAAAAAATTTCCTAAATTTGATGATATTTTGTGATTTATTTGATTTTGAAGAATTATTGAGTGAGAAGGAAAATACTTGAACCACTTGCACTTCATAATTTCGCATTATTATTGACATTCAAATGATATGGATTTTTTTTGCTTTGGCAAAGAAAAGTCAGGACCCCGAACACCTGTGGAGATTTCTTCACTCTGCGATGTTGATTCTTAAATCGGAGGTGAGACACGACGTTATACTCGCCCCCGCGGTTGTGTCGCCTACAAGAGACAACTTTCCTTTTTAGGTGTTATGACTTGAAAAGTAAGCTAATATTATAATGTGTTACCAATGTACCAGGTGAACAATAAATCAATAAAAAATATTTGCAATTTTATCCCACTATTTTTCCACTCTTCATTATGATTTCTGACATTGAATTTCTATTTTCCAATTTAATAGCAACACCAATACCAAAGACGAAAAAACAGGATGTTCTTTTATGGAGATGGATTTTCTCATAGCTCATATGTACGCGTACGTGAAGTGGTTTATATATTTTATGACTAAAACTTCTTTCCATCTATAAGAGAGTAAATTACGTCAGGAATTACAAATCCCCCCCTGTATATAGAAACATGATCTGATCGACTCGCACCAACGATTATACGTTTCTTCCGATTCGACCTTCCACCAAAGGTAAGGAACGTTCTGCTTCTGCTACGGTCACCTTCGCGATCCATTTTCAAGGAGAGTCCAGAATAGAGTCGAAGTCGGTATGAACGCGCTGATACAACGCGCTCGTCCTATGTATTCCACCCAAGGGGCACACGATAACTAAAAGGCATTAAAATGTTAACATCTACTCAAAACGATAACTTGAAGTTATCAAAAAGAGAAGTGTGCCCGCTGGGCATATGGACGAGCGCGTTAATATCAGCGCGTTCATACCGACTTCGACTCTATTCTGGACTCTCCTTCAAAAAAGGAGGCGTATATTTTTTTATTATAAATGGATTAAATGCGAAGGGTTCGGGTCCTGACCTAATTTGTCCATTTGCCAACATTTTTAATCTCTTTCTTTCTAATTCTCGAAAAAAAATCCATTGCAAAATTAATAAATCACAAAAACTTTTATTATTAATTATTATCATTATTAACTTACAACTAACGATCTACATGTCTGATTATTCAAGGTTATGTTTATTATCGTGTGCATGGAGCCTTTTTTAAATTTGTAAAATAGAAATAATTTTTATTTCATATTTTGAAATTCAATTCTTTTCAAAATTAACGAAATAAAATACACAAATAAAGATAAACATTAAAAATATATAAAATAACAATTTTTTTAATTTTTATTCTCAGTTATTCTTATTTTTCATTAATAAAAAATATAGAACGTGTTTTTTATCAAACGAGAAAAACTGGAAATTGAAAAAATCACTAAACTTGTATAGTTTTAATTGAAAACTCATTTTAAAAGATAAAAAAAGATTTATATCATTATTTATCTGTAATATGACCTCAATGGCAATATTGACCGTCGTTTACTCTTTACTATGTTGTTTTTTATTGAGTTTGTAGTGATAAGCTCTAATTTTTCCATACTTAAATCCGAAAAGTATAGTTTATTATTCTTTTCCATATAATGAGAAGGAACAAAGGAAGTGTAAAAAAATTAAAAAACGAATAAAAACAAAAATTTACTCAACAAGTGATCCTAAAAAATAAAATTTAAATTTTAGTTAGGAATTATTAATTGAAGTGAAAAGCTTAATTTCATTACATTCAAAAATTAATAAAATAACAATGTAAAATTATTAGAAAAAAAATTTAATTTGAAATGCATAACATTACAATAATTAAAATAATTAACCAAACAACAATTAAATTCATCAATAAATGCAGGAAAAATAAAAAACAATTTAAAAATGGCCGATATTGTAAAATTTTTGAAAAATTAACAATAAGTTAAAATAAAATTGAAATAAAGTACTAAATTCTATCAAAAGATTAGTGTTTTCAGAATTAAAAAAAATTTTGAAAAATAAAATGACAAAAATGTGGGTGTAAAGTTGCGTAGGTTTCATGGACTTTTTGACCTGTTTACAATTTTATCTCTCCCATAAGAATTGAGTTCAAAATTATATTCAAGTTACCATTAAAAAACGAAAACGTTTTTTCCTTCAAAAATCAATGATTTTTACTTCTTTATTATGTATAATTGTATAATTTCAAATACTAAGAAAAAAATCATGTAAATTTAATTATCGTCCATAAACAGTAGAGTGAAAGAAAAAAAAGAATATCTTGTCACAAATAGAAATATATAATTAGAAGTCTCATGTTTTCTCCTACTCAAATGTCACACATATGCAAGAGCGTTTTTCCTTCAATTCATTCAATTTAATAGTTTGTTTTCAACTTCAACATTCATTATAATTTAGTGCTTTTTTACTATTCTTCTTAAATGAAACAACATTTATGTAATTAATTAGTTGCAAATTTAAGATATCCTACTTTTCTTTGTCAAAACACAAAAAAATCACAAAAAATTGAAAATTTTTTTTAAACATTAACAGTAAAAAAACAGTTTAAATATTTTTTTATCAACTATATATCAGCACAAGATAAACAAAAGATCAAAAAGTTCATAGTGACGTTTTTGTGATTATTGTTTTAAAAAATGATATTATATTAAAATTATCAATCGCTTCTCGTAATAATAATATTAAAAATAATAATAATAATAGAAAATAAAAAATATAAAGGAGATAAATAAAAGTATATATTTGACGAATTTTTTAGTACCTAAAAAGCATGCTGCATAGATTAGAATAATTGCAAAACATGTGAAATAGCAAGGAAAAATATTTCCCAAATAGAAATAAATAAATAAATAAAGTAAACCTTTGCTTACTGTGAATACGTAAAGAAATGAATATAAATAAATAAAATAAGGAGTTGAAAAAAGTTTAACATTCAAACGGTGCAATGTTGGTAAACAAAAAACTGCCTCAACATTACATCACAACTCTTCCCACCTTCATGACGTTTTAAATCGACCTTCTCCTTAGACGTTGTCGAAGAATTTGTTAATTTTTCGACATTATTATTCACGTGCGATGATGAGTCGCGATTTGAAATAATTCTACCACATCTGAGACCTAGCAAAGGGGGTTCTAAGTCCGCCCCTGCTGCAGCCTTTTTCGAAACACAACACAGCATCAGAACCGTCAGAGAGATACTGAACTGGAAACTTTGTAATCTACACACATTCTATACATTTCTCTTTGACTTCTTCTTGTTCTTCTTTTAGCACCGCTCTCCAGACTACACGGCTCGTCAATATTCATAAGATGTTTATTTTTAAAATATTTACCATCACTTCCATTATTTTTCCTTTAATATACAAAAAAAGCCTTTCTCTCTTTTTTCACAATTTATACCTAGATGTATTCCTAGAGACGATTCCTAAAACATATTTTTGAAAATACAAAGAAATCGGAAAACCGAAAAATCAATAAGCAATTAATTATTTCGTTAAATTTTTTGGGGAAAAGAAATTTAATAATTTTCTCTTTTGCAAAATGTTTCTTCTTTCGCGAGGAAGTAAAATTTTTTTTTTGCTCCAGTGTTTATACTTTTATGAGTAAGTAAAAAATTTCATATACCCCTTAAATTGGAAATTTTGCTCTGTTTAGAAAGTATGTTTAAATATTTGTGAAGAAAAAAATTTGAATTTCCTTCTTAAAAAAACTATATATTCTTGCGAGTCCATTAAAAATTCAATTTCTCCATTGAAAGAATGAAATTTGTGCCAACTATTAATTTTCAAGTAACAAATAATGTTTCTTGTATATACGAACTTAAATATAAGATTCAAGATTTCATAGCAGTAGCCCAGTAAGAAACGAAAAATTGAAAAGGATTATTGAAATAATTCAAACTCTGTATGGTGTAGTAGAAATTATCCAATACTTTTGAATGCCATTTCTGTCCAATACTTTTCTATACCATGATATAGGACCACGTTTCGTCTAAAAATGAATGCTATTCAATTCTTTTTGTAATTTTTAACAAAGACAAAATTTTTTTCTGAATGCTTTCCAATCCCATCCGAAATTATTACAGCCTGTCATTATATCACTTTTCAATTTTTCATTGGAACCGCGTTTCTGCATGCATTCAAGCAATCTTCTGGATTTTTGTAATTTATAAGATACATACAGTGGCAGATTTTGTAAAAAGTGTTTGTGTTCAAAGAAAAACTTGCTGAAAAATTGATTGTTTACCAATTTAACGTCATTTAAACGAGTTAGGGCCGTTATTCTGTTAGACAATAAATCATAACCTAAAAATTTCAGAGACCTTTAAACACTTTTAACCCTCTTAACTGATAATTTAATAATTATTCCTTTTTAAAATAGCAAATAAATTCATGAGTGCAGTTATTTGAAAGTAATTGAACATTCTATATGTCAACAATATTAGTATTATATTATTATACTACTGTCGCGGAATTCAGAAGCATAGGGCAGAAATGGTATTCAAAAGGATCAATTTTTCGTTTCTTACTGGGAGGGGAGACTAATGTTAAATTTTGCAAAAATGTTTTTAGGCAATAAATCCGCTTGGAAGCAGATATATATATATATATATGTGACGCTCCACGAGAAAAGGGACCTTAGCTGCAAAAAAATTAATTTTGAGTTATTTATATCATTCCGTACGTTTTGAGTTGCTCTTTCATATACAAAAGGCAAAAATAATTTCTACTTACAGGTTTTTTTGTTATCAATGTTTAAAAATGAACCTTTTGAGTGTTTACACCCGGTTGTTTAGAAAATCAGCCCCTCTACTTTCTAACACAACTACACAGGTTATGTACGTACAACTCATGCGCTTCGTGTAACATGGATAACTATCAATGTGAAGTGAGTACACGGAAAAAAAAGTTCACGAATCTCTCGTGAACTAGTATATCACTTTTGGATGGGACACAAAATTTCAAAATTTTCATTCACTTTTGATTAGAAATGGCGAACGTCAACGAAAAACTGAAACAAAGTTAATGAATTTTTGATGAACTGTTAATGAAGAGTAGTTCGTCAAAAGTAGAGGTACAAGTTCACGAAAAAATCGTGAACTCGCTAGTCTCAGTAGTATGCGCAGTTCGTAATGCGCATCAAATATGGCTGATCAAGCATTCATCATTCAGTCGGTGTCATCGGTGTTTACATTCGGGAAAATTCTTTGATGAAAGTTATTATTTAGAATCAGTGTTTTTTATTACTTAGTGAATATTTTTGTTTGCTAATTTCCTTTGTGAAACAAATAATTCATAAAATGAATTAAAAGTTACGATAAGGGACTTTTTCTACTTTGCACGGTCCTGAGTTTTACAGCAGACAAAGCTAATCGTTTCGTTTGTCGAAGGACAGTGTATCTAGATTTAGCCGTGGCGGTTAGTTGTTAGAAATATTATGTTATAGGGTATAGGTACTAGGTTCGAATCCCGTGAAGCGAATTACGAATTTTAATGGCGATAAAATTGTGTATTCTTTGTAGTTGGGTGCGTAATAGGCGTCAAGTTATCAAATAAAGTGAAATACTATAAAAAAGTAGTGTCTGGAAATTATTTTTTCTTGTTTTTAGCATTTTTTAAATGTTCACGAATTTTTCGTTAACTTTGACGAAAAGTTCGGAAACAGTACTATGTTTCTAGTGAAGGAGTTGATGAAATTTTGACGAACTGTGTTTGTTGATTTTCAAGAATTTTGTGTCCCATCCAAAAGTGATATACTAGTTCACGAGAGATTCGTGAACTTTTTTTTCCGTGTAACTAACCTTCAACTTCGTACCATTTGTCAAATTTTTCAAAAACACATTTTTTAAACAATTTTTTTTCTATTAATCCCATTAAATGTCCATAATATATTATACGGGAATGGAAACTAGAAAAGTTAAGCTTTATTTTCATATAATTTTGATAAAAATCGACGGGGGGGTGTTTTGAGATATTAAGAGTTTAAACTTTCAAACAGGAATTTCTCTACGAAATTGAGAAAAATTTAAAAAAATAAAAATAGCATTATAAAGTTCATGAAATTCTCTTTTGATTCAGTGTATAATATGTTACAAATAATTAAATTTTTTAATAATTATATTTATTAGAAAATCGCTCTCCTTGCGATTGTTTTTTGTCGGTGGAACGATTTGAAATGGAATGCCTCATATATATATATATGGGTCAGTCCATTATATTTCACCTGAAGCTGTTGCGGCCTATTTTTAAAAAAATCTCATAATTTGTAAAAATGATGTTTAATATCCACAAAATTCATTTTTGAGAATTATTTTATAAAATTTTTTGAATTTAACTTAGAATTTTAATTTTTAAATTGAGTTGGACAGAAAAAAGGTTAGATTGACAGTTATGAAAATTTAATAAAAAAGCATGGAAATAATTTAGATAATACAAATTTCTAGATTGATATTTGTTAAAAATGAGCTAATTTACTTGTATAAATAGATTTTTATGTAAACATACTAAAAATAATAGATAAAAATTAATTTTAAAACTTTACTATGAAATTTCCAAAGTCACTACATTTTAATTACATCTTTCTAAAAAGTTTATAAATATTAAAAAATTTATTACTACTTAATGTAAAGTATTTTCAATGTACTTTCATAATATGTGCTAACTTTTTAATTTTATACTATAGAAATATGAAATATTTTACCTTTAATATTGAGTGTTTCATGATTTTCATTGATTTTAATTACTTATTTCTTCTCAGGTGCAAGACTAAAAAATCCAATTTTTGTCTTAATATTAAAGTTTGATCTTCTTTTCCATTCTATTAAATTTTGGTGATGGAGAACGAGCTACTTTTCATTTTAAATTTAGTTTAAAAAATCTGCTGAAAAAACGAATTTGTTGGTTAAAATGCAGGTAATTTTATAACACTGAAGTTGACTATCTCAATACACGGAAAAAAAAAGTACGTGAATCCTTCCTTGAAAGTGCTTGACTTTTGGATAGAACACAAAGTACAAGGCTGTATCATATACTTTTTATTAGAAAATATAGAAAAGTCCTAGAGTTATTTTAGTACTAGTATATGGGCAACAGTGTTTTTTAAATTTTAAAGAAAAGTCATTTGTTCAGTTTTATAAAGTACGTGAAAGATTAGTTGACTGCGCTTGAAAATTCTGTAGAGCATGCGCAGTGTGCGTTGCGCGTTTCTACCCAAGGTAAATGCCAGCTGATCGTCTATTCCGTTTGTGTTAATTTCAGATGTGAATATACTATTATTTTAAGAAAAACAAATAGTGTTAATATATATGTGACGCGATCTGAAGAAAGGGACCTTAGAAGCAAATCATTTTAAGGTTGGGTTAGAGTTACTTTTTTCTTGTTTGAAAGTTTCTTTTTACTTATTTTGAATTAAAATCAGTGTTTATTAAATATTTTAGTTTTAATGAAGACTTAAACTTTAATGATTTATATTGACAGTTGATCCTTTTTTTGTATTTTCATTTAAAAAATTGCAAACATAACCTATAATTTTTTGCTTCTAAGGTCCCTTTCTTCAGATCGCGTCACATATTTATCTTCAAGAATTGACTTTCAAAAATATATTTTTTGTTTTGTGTTTCTCACAAAACAGAATGTTATGTAAGTCTCAGTTTTCAGTGAAATAGCATGTCTCAGAAGTCGTGAAAAATTTCACCATGTGGTATATAAGAACAATTCGATACGTACTTTTAAGTGTTAAGTGTGTGTTTATATTTAAGTTATACGCGAATATATGTGTGTGTTATTGGTTAGTCCATAAGTGTTGACGAACATCGAAAAGTGATACAATAATTGTTCTTTGTTTGTGTGATTAATTATCCAAATATGTGAATGAATGAGTGAATTTCAGAAAAACGGTGTGAACAAGTGTTAATTATTTTTTTTATTTAACAGTTTTTTTGAAAGTCAATGAAATTCTCAAGCAAGGTACTAGAAATTTTCATTGACTGCTTTTGAAACTCTCATGCAAAAGTACTAGACTGTTTTTAGTATTTTGTGTCGTATCCAAAAGTCAAGTACCGAGTCAATGAAAAATTCACGTACTTTTTTTTCCGTGTAGTCATGCAAAAATCTACTTGCATTTTAACCAACAAATTCTTTTTTTCAGCAGATTTTTTAAACTAAATTTAAAATGAAAAGTAGCTCGTTCTCCATCACCAAAATTTAATAGAATGGAAAAGAAGTTCAAACTTAAATATTAAGACAAAAATTGGATTTTTTAGTCTTGCACCTGAGAAGAAATAAGTAATTGAAATCAATGAAAATCATGAAACACTCAATATTAAATTTAAAATATTTCATATTTCTACAGTATAAAATTAAAAAGTTAGCACATATTATGAAAGTACATTGAAAATACTTAACATTAAATAGTAATAAATTTTTTAATATTTATAAACTTTTTAGAAAAATTTAATTGAAATGTAGTGACTTTCGACATTTCATAGGTAAATTTTAAAATCAATTATTTTTATCTATTATTTTGGGTATGTTTACATAATAATCTATTTATACAAGTAAATTAGCCCATTTTTAACAAATATCAATCTACAAATTTGTATTATCTAAATTATTTCCATGCTTTTTTATTAAATTTTCATAACTGTCAATCTAACCTTTTTTCTGTCCAACTCAATTTAAAAATTAAAATTCTAAGTTAAATTCAAAATATTTTATAAAATAATTCTCAAAAATGAATTTTATGGATATTAAACATCATTTTTACAAATTATGAGATTTTTTTAAATATAGGCCGCAACGGCTTCAGATGAAATATAATGGACTGACCCATATATATATATATATATATATATATATATATATATATATATATATACTAGGGGGGCTTCGCCCCCCTGCACGCTTCGCGCGCCAACCCCCTATCTCTATTTTTATATTTATTTTAATTTTTATAAATTTAAAGTAATTTTTTCTTAATATCAATGCATCTTAATAAATTGCATACAATACATGACAAAATACACATAGATTTTGACGTAATGTAATAATCGTTATGGACCTTTTTTATCTATATGTCAAAAATTAGATTAAACTTTGTCATATATTTTGACCCATTTTAACCTATAGGTTAAAAAGACGTTAAATTTTAAATAGATTTTGACGTATCATAGATACGTTTATTGTCCTTTATTGTCCCTTTTTAAGTTGTAGTTAAATAAAAGTCAAATTACACATAGATTATGACGTAACTAAATGAGGGAGTAAAAATAAAACGTCAAAATTAGGTCAAAATTATAGGTGTAAGAGCAAACACAATTTAAAAATTACCTTACATTGTTAGGTCAGATGCCAAACTTCACCTCATCATTAAGGTCATGTTATTCAGTGGTCACGTGCTCCATATACTTTACTATGGGAACACGTGACTACTGAATAACATGACCTTAAGTCTGCGCGCAGAAATTGTTTGACAAATTTTGACGTCTATGTCAAAGCTGCCCTCAAACTTGACCTAAATTTTGAGGGTAGCGGGAATTCTTTGTCAAATTTTGATGTGTAGGTCAAAACTGCCCTCAAAATTGACCTAAATTTTGAGGGTAGCGGAAATTGTTTGTCAAACTTTCACGTCTAGCTCAAAACTGCCCTCAAAATTGACCTAAATTTTGAGGGTAGCGGGAATTCTTTGTCAATTTTTGATGCGTAGGTCAAAACTGCCCTTAAAATTCACCTAAATTTTGAGGGTAGCGGAAATTGTTTGTCAAATTTTGACGTCTAGGTCAAAACTGCCCTCAAAATCGAATTCTTTGTCAAATTTTGACGCCTAGGTCAAAACTGCCCTCAAAATTGACCTATATTAACGTAATGTGAGGCCGTTATTTATCCTCTTTTTGACCTACAGGTCAAAAAATAGGTCAAATTAGACATAGATTTTGACGTAATGTGAGGCCGTTATCCTCTTTTTGACCTATAGGTAAAAAAATTGGTCAATTTTGACATAAGTTTTGACGGCCCCTTTGGGATAGGCCGC